AATGCTGTCACTGATGAAATAAGTTACTGTGGACTTCTTTGTCTCAAACCTGAGCCTGACTGATGCAGGGAATCTCTGCAGTAACCAAGAACAAGCATAAATTAGCCTGCTGGGAGCCCCAGCAGGGATGTTTGGCCTCATAAGGAAGCTGGTGAGGCTTTGGTAGAACCTCTTGAGGGTAGAAGGATTATCCAGGGAATTCTCCAGGAATTAGACAGTTTAACTCTTAAGACGTATGGTATGAAAAATACTTAGCAATTTATAAGTATTTGTTATAAAAGTGTTTTTTATACTTTAAACAAAAACACTGGCTTTACTGTGTACACACTGATCATGAGTAAAACACCTGGGAGAGGTACATCTTTAAGTAATTTGCATAATACAATTGTGAATGTTGCTGCTAACAATTACTATGGCTATTCCAGCCCTTGAGGTTACACAGTGAAGTTTCCAGTCAACATTATGTGAGAGAAGGTACATTTTTACATATGTATAATATTTCTGAAAGAAGAAGTGCAAAGTGCATTTGCAATGCACAAGATTTTAGACTGCAGCTCAGTATTGCAAAACTAGGTAAATCAGAGAAGTGAATCCAGGATCAGTCTTCATATCTATGTTACTTAACGAAGCAGCACCTTTTTTTTTTTTTAATTTTTTTTTTTCTTTGAAAGCAAGTTTATGCTGGAGGGGAAGGGTTTCAACTGACATTTTAATGTAAATCAGAATCTCTCAATAGGTGTGGAATTCGTGGTGCCTAGGACCGGCTTTTACTGCAAGCTCTGTGGACTCTTCTACACAAATGAAGAGATGGCAAAGACAAATCACTGCAGAAGTACCGTTCACTACAAAAATCTTCAGGTAAAAGCACACTTGAAACTAGCTAATAACTGGCTCTTGGGGTGGACTGTGTATAAGATAATTATGCTACCAAAATTTTGATTTTGTGCTGTAGTTAGAATTCAGACAAATTGAAGTTCAGATAAACAAAACTTTTCAGTGGTTCCAAATGTTATCACACTAATTTCTCATTGCCAGATCCCCACAATCTACTTCTAGATCATAAATAAAATGGGGCCAGGTGACAAGTTTATGTTCTTATCCATATTTGGTCCTTGTCACCAGCACAGGAAAGAACTCAGACCTTTAGCTGTCTGGTCTTGAAGGTCCCAGACATTTGCATCACTGGGAGTGAGCCCAGCAACAACCTTTATTATTTCTTAGTTCAAGGAGCACTAAATATGCCACTTGTTTAATAAAGTTGCCATTCCTACTTTGCATGAGCATATATTTCTGCGGCATGTTTCAGCAAGCAGTACTCTGTGACGCACAGGCTCTGCGAGGCATTTCCTGTGACCTGCTGAAATCACCTTGCTACGCTGCAGAGCAGCACAGGGGCTCAGCCACGCAGAACACCACTACTGAATAATTTCCCTAAGGATCTGCAGAACCATGTAATCGCCTGTGTGGTTTCAGCACTTGATAATAGCACAAAGAGGCTGTGGGTGCTTGCCATTAAATCAAAAGCCCCCCACCTTTATCACTTCTCAGATGCACGGCTGATAATATCAGTCATAACAGCATGAGCATCAACTGCCCAGGGCTGAGGACTCCTTATAGGAGGTGACCTTATTGCACATCCCCTTGAGTCCATGCCTTTGTGTAGGGTACATGTACTGCAGGAGATGCTTTTATCAGAATGCTGTTGGCATTCTCACACTCCCAGCAAAAGACATGAAAGAACAAGACTGCTCCTTCTTTTTCTATTCCTTCTGTCTTACTTCCTGGACCCCTGCTTCTCTTCAAGTAATACCCATCTCTCCCTAACTGGCTAACGTTAACTCTCCCTAACATTAGCTTTTCTGAGAATAGTTTTTTGTAAGTCACGCTCAAAGTCAAATCATTTCTCTGGGAGAATTTTCTTCTTGACTTGCCTGAAGTCACTCAGCTGTCATCATACGAAGGCCTCTGGCTTTCAAAGACTGTGCCTGCAGAGCTGCTATGCTTGCTTATGTTGGATCCTCCAAGTGTAAGCCTGAAGAACAGGTGCCCAGTTTGCATGTCCTTTTTTGCTTATTACAAGAAAATCCAGAGGGATTCACCAAAGGTAGCACCACTCAGTGGAGGCCATGTGTCCCATGCAAGTCTTTCCCAAAGAAACTCGTGCTTCAACAAAGATTGCAACTTCAGCACTTGGTAACTAGCCTCATGGGAAGGAGAGGCGTTTTTTTCATTTTCAGTTATTTTGTCAAAGTCATAGAGAAAATATGTCCGTTAAAACTGAATCAGCATGAAACAACAAACAATCACACCACACATTTTCTCTCCTGTAAGACATTTCCCATGAGCACTGTGGTAGATATCTAACACTGACTTGAGATAAAGCACAGAGACCGCAAAAGCTGTTAAAATTAAATCTGTCAAACATGGTAATGAAAACATATTGTTCTCTAGAGCTGTACCTCTTATCTTATTAAATGGAGGAAGTAAGTGTCTGATAAATACCCATCCAACTTTTGCCCTCTCAAGTGGAAACTCAGCAAATTTTAAATAATTGCTCTGTATTTCTAGAACTGTTCTAATTGCAGTACTGCTAATTTATGCACCCTGCAAGAAATATCAGTCTTCTAGGATGGTGCAATTTAATGAGTGTATCCACCAAAGTAAGAGCTACGGACAGTGACTGTATCTGAAGCTGTGGCACTGCGGCTGCCCCCTGTCTTTCTGTTGTCTTGCCTACATGAGGAATAACATTGTCCAATGCCAGCAATGTTGTCCCAAATTCTTTCATGACTATGAGTCTTTTGTAGTTATTTGCTACATGTCATCTTTCACATAGTCTATTTGGAGATACATCCAGAATGTACCCTCGGTGTTTGGATTTGAACACCAAGCTGAACAGTTTGTCTAACAGTTTTCTTCAAAAGCCTCACTTAGGTGATGAGTAAAATAGTCGCCTTCACCTCAGTGTGTTGTCCCTTGAAGAACACCAATCACTGAAAAACTTCCAACTGTTTCTTCATCAGCCTTGCAGACTTTTTGTAATTTTCCATTCTCTTCAGCTTAATAAATAATTTCCCAGGTGGTATTTATATTTACAGATCCACCACAGTTTCCATGTCCAAAAGATCCACCATTTGTCCTTCCCTCCCACAACTACCACACAAAGCTGTCAGATTCATCTGGTGTAAGCTACCTTTGGCAACTCGGTGCAGCATTTTATCCTGTTTTCCACAGGCTTTCTGCGATATTCATCAAAACTTGTATTTAGAAGAAAAAATATTTTTTGTTGACTCTCATTTTCCTATAAATGAATTTGAATGTCTGGTTTGTGAGCTTCAAAACTGGTGTTCATGTTAGTCATGATAGCTGACATTAGCATCAACTAAAGGTGGTGGATAAATCTGTCTTATTTTGGTGGGTAATCATTAAAAACCAGAAGTGTGTGCCTTATCTGATCCAACGACAAGCGTTAGTGATTTATTACAGCTCATGATGAACGGATCACTTCTCCCCATCTTTATGGATCCTATATCTCTATATACTCCCATAACGTTTACTCTGGCTTTCTGCCACATGGAATTTTGTACCCAGGGACCACAGTTAAGAGTTGTAAAATTTCCACTGCTAAATCTCTATTCAGGTTGACAGGGGTGCAGTCATCATTTTGTCACAGGTATGCCTGCTCTTTGCCTTTACTGATTCCCTTTCAGATGTGCTTTTTAAATCCAAATCTTGTGTTTACGTGAGACGGCCTGGCAGTCTTAACACAGCCCCTAGTTTCTTTATACCCATTTCCCATTCCACCTCTTCCCCATGGGTAACCAAGTGTTAACTTTACTCTGGAGGAATCTTGCAACTAGATAAGGTTTTGCAGTGACATGACATCATCTTTTTGAGACAAATCCAAAGGAATAATAAGCTAGAAAAGAGAGCTTTATGTTCATAAAAATGTACAGGGCAGATATTCTTGCATGTGCTAGCTGTAATAAGACCATCTGTACATTATTATGCAGGTGTCTGTCTAAACTAGTTGCTAATGAAGAAGCTTCTTTCCATCTATTTCTAGGTCTGTTGAGTACCATTTTCATTCCTACATCAGGTCATTTTCCATTTTGTGTGCACCTCTACTAAGAGCACTTCCCGAAGGTTGGAGACCTCACTGGCCTTGTCTTTATTTAATAGTGAAAAGCTTTGTCTTAGAGCAATACAATAAATGTAAATACTCTAGCCAGACTGCTAAATTTTGTTAATTGTTATTGATTTGATTCATCCCTTAATATAAATGTTCTTGTGTATGAGGTTTATGTCTGAACTGGATGTCCTAAAAATGTAATATATATGCTTTTACTTATGACTCAGAAACCACATCTACTTTCTGACACAACAGCCTTACACCAGAATACTTTTGTCGACTCAGTGAAATTAGTTCCTGCACTATAGCATACAGGAGCAGCAAGTTTGCTTGTAAGGAGAAAATGTGCGGTTTCACTTGTGATGGGAAGCTGGGGTCCTCCTGGCTCTTTCACCAATTCCCCTTGTGGCACAGGGTAAATCACACAACTTTTGAGGCTCTCCATGCAGTACAGTATCTCTCATTAAGGTAGTTTGCTTGGCACAGCTATTTTTCCTGGCTTGAATTTTCACCAAAAAGGGGCTTCTATGCGTTTCTTTCTTTGTGAGGTGCCAGGAGAGTGTAGGAGCTATGAAAAGGAGTAAAGCATCCTGTGTTGAATATTTTCAGTTTTGGTAAAGATGCTTTGTTTCTGATTTGATTGCAGAAATATCTATCACAGCTTGCAGAAGAGAGCCTGAAAATGAAGGAAGAAGGCAGCCATCTGCTTCAGGATGACACTGGAATTGTTCCTCACTTTGCAAAGAAGAAGTTATGATGTGGATGAACTGGAAGAGCTATAATGAGTGAATGCTGATACATTTTTTTTTTTTAATTTCTCTGATATAATTGTCAATTTGCACTGTACAGAGGAGGGGAAATAAAGAGCATGTTCCATGCATCTATGCCCAGAGTGCCATTAAAAACCAAAATGCCTGAAACTGTTTCCCACGGTGAAGCAAAACTGGCATATCTGTAAGAAGTGGAGCAATTCTTTCTCACACTCTGCATGCTGGGAGTGGTTTCCTAGATTAAATCAGAATTCTCAGGGATTCTTCAAGTTTTAATTCTGATGTGACACATCAGGTCAGGCACAGTATTTAGAAGCACTCAGCATCCTCCAGTGGACGCTGGAAGGAAAGGAGATGTGACTATAAATAGGCTTTAATGTTGCTTAAAATATCTTCAGCCATTTTACTCATTAACCCAGTGAGCAGGATTTGCATAGGACATCTAAAGCCATTGTGCTAAAACTAATCTGTAGATGGCAGAATATAAACCCCATCAGCATCCATCTCCGTATGTCTTAGAGCTTGCTGAAATGATAGATATTTGTGTTGTTAAGCACTGACTGTGTTGTACGAATGCAGAGGGAGCCGCAGTCTCTGCCCAGGGACCTTAGAGCCTGAACCCAGCACAGCGAGAGCAGTTCAGATGTGTGTGCTGACAGCTAACCTGCTCTGGTTTTCAGCATTTTCCATGGTGTGATCAGGATGTTCTCCAGGTACTGTTGTGTTTGAGACTCTTCTTTTTGATAATTCTAAAGGGTGCCAACTTCGAGTCTTACAGACTTGAAACTCTCACGAAAGGATTTTTGAAGTGCCGTGTGTTTGGACCATGTCACTTTTAGACATTTTACTCAATGACTTTTAGAGTCTTTCTGTTTTCTTTCAAACCTGCTTTTCCTCGGCTTGGCAATGTTGAATTTTCCTGGTTTTCATGGAAAGATGCCAGACTTTAAATACTGTTTTTGTATTTTATTTCCCTGAATTTTTAAGGTGAACACAACAACTGATGGCTCACAGTGCTGTGCTGAGAACACAGGATGCACCAGCAGCTCTGACATTATTATGAGCTATTGTTTCTGCACAGTTGTTGCTTAGTATTTTGCAAAGTCCCTTTGAAATGCACTGTACGAGTTTCTGGTTCATTTCAATGGGGCTTTGTGTTGTAAAGTGAATACGTATGCAAACCATTGCCAGAATTGATCCCAGAGTTATGCTTTTATAAAATGCACCACGCAATTTAGACAGATGGGGATTTGCAGACGTGTTTCCGTTCTTTGCCTTACTCTAATATTCATCACGGTACGTTCTGTAACAGTTGCTGGTGCTAGATACCCTGTTGAGATGTTGCTCAGAGGAAACAGTTTCCCAGAAGGTTCCTACCATCCCTAAGAATGTTGCAAAATACTGCAGAGTGGCCAAATGGCCAAAACTGCTTCCACCAAAGTATTTGTTCCATTATTTCTTGTGCCAGCAGTCATGTTCACTTCCTGAAGTGCCCTGTGGCCAGGCAAGGTGTCTCAGAGGTGCCTGTCATTATTGCCTGAAGCCCTCTTCCAGTTCATGGCCTGTGCTTTCTGCTTGTTTTTACCAGAGGTGGATTCAGATATCATATTTGGGATTCCTGTTTCTTACAAGTTGAGGGATTCTTTGCATCCCACATTCAGATGTGGCCTATCTGAAAGAAGAGGGGAAATGAAAAGCATTGCAGCATAAATCCTCCTTTGTCCATACTTGAAGTATTTTAAGATTTGGGTCCATCTGTCATTTAAAACAGCTTTTTTTTGTTTTCCCCTATGTTAAAAAATAAATAAAATTGCAAACAAGGTATTTTTCCTTCAAGGGCTGGGCTTTCCTTTGACTGTTTGTTTTTCACATTGCAGTGAAATTTGAGCACAGGGCTGTTAGGGCAAGAGCTTATATAGCAAGCTATAAGATTACGAAAAGGGCAGTAAAGATTGTGCAACCGTCTTCTAAAGCACAGCTCCCAAGCTGGTCATGTATCATCTGAATATGAAGTTCCCTTCATGCCCTTCAGCACAATCTGAGCACAAGGGAAGGAAATCACTCCAAATGCAAGCATCAAATCTTTGAAGCTAACCCTGCTATCAAACCGGGGCTCTCACCGGCCTAATGGGAGCTCATTAGCCCATGTGGTTAAGCTTAATTGGATGCGAGACGTAGCTGACTCTATATCAAAGCCATGTGCCTCCAGCAACTTTATCCCCAGGTAACCTCAAATGAGAAAAGTATCACTGTTATTATTCTTTGTTTGTATTGCAGTAGAAGCTACAGGTCCACGGCCTTTATTATGGGCACAACACAAATCCACAACAAAGACTTTCCCAGGCCAGAAAGCTTTAAATCAGACCTTCAGAAAACAGACGACAGGTGGATACAGGCAGACAGGGAAAGCAATAGGCAGCGATGAGCTTTTTGACTGGCAGCAGCAGAATTATTAAAATGAGTGTTTGCCCAGGGGTTATCTTGGGATTTACAGGAGGTAGCTCAAACTACTTCCCCCCTCCTCTGATTCTGAATCAGGCTCACTCCCTTTATTCATAGCTTGCATATTTAACCTCCTCCTTTCTCCTAGCCAGCTGCACTAGGCACGCAGGATTCCTTCCTGAGAGAGTGGCCCTCAGCATCCTTCAATCCCCGACTGAGATGTGCTCGCTTAAGTTTCAGTCCCTATTTAGGGCTTCAGAAGATGGAATCCTGACCAAGGCTCACCAGGGCCTGTCCTGGCTCCAGATACCTGTTTTGGGTTGAGGTCCAGGCCCTTGTTTGCAGCTGTGGAAGGAGGAGGCTCCGGAGGCAAGATGGGATCCCTGCCCTGTGTAGTTCCCTCTGCTGGAGGGAGATGACAAGAGGGCGATGCAGGTGCAGGGCCCAGCCCCACAGATGTGACCGAACCCAGGCATTAGTAGAGGTGGTTTGGCTGCCCCGTTCCTCGGGGCTCTGTCCTGACACAGCAGCAGTCTGCAAAACCCAGTGTATGGCCAAATGTTTCTCTTCTCAGCTTCCCTTCTGAGAAAGTCCTTTCTCTCCCTATAACCCAATGCTTTAGAGCGGTTAAAAGCAACCCCAAATCTCAACCAATTCCTAGTGACCCCAATGATCCATTTTCAGCCTGATTCACTTTGGGATCTCAGAGATAATCTCCTTCCCTCTCCAAGAGGCCATCACGCAATGCTGGCAGGCACTCAGCTCCTCAACTTCTCTCTACTACCTATTCTGCTGAGGAAGAAGGACACTGTAGGCAGACGCTTTCCTTTCTCAGCATGTGTAAAAATGTGTTTCTTTTGGTTTCTTATATTTAAAATCTTTACTTTTTTTTTTAGTTGGCCATAATTCATCATCACTATAATCCACGCTGTTTATTAATACATATATATACATATATATATATATATAGCACAAAGCAGGCTCAGGTCTAGCCAAAAAAAAATTAATATTTAAAAAAAAGAGCTTCCTTAATATATACAAACCATTTCAACACATCTCAACCAAAGATTGCACTTTTTGAATAGGGACTATGCTTTTCACCTTTGTGAAATCTGTATTGATCTCAAATAGTCTTTAATATCAATCTGCAATTTACTCTTTTGAAGTAAAACGTAAAATAAATAAACATTTGCCCCATAAGATTAGACAGTTTCATATTGGCTTTAACACTAAATTAGTGTTAAGCTGGTTATATTCAGGGTTTTTCTATTCTCTAAGGATTAAGGCTGTGATTTATTGAATTATACTTGAACTGGACCAGATGTATTATTTATTGAGCTTATATAATCTTGTTAATTTAAGTTTTGGCTTGTAAACAGTTGGAATTTGTTAGTACTTGTTTAATTATGTAGGAACTGTCACCAATATTAAATGATCTGTGTAACTGATTGCAAAGTGTTTCAATTTGTGTTTCTTAAAAGGAAAGATTTTAATAAAGAGAATTAAAAGCATAAGCAGTGGTGGGCAAATGTCCCAGCAATGACATGCTTCTAGCTTCCCAGGGGATCTGTTAAGAACCAAAATGAACAAAAGATAGTTTGGGGGGTAAGATAAAAGCGTGAGGCCAAAATGTTTGCTTTCCAATATAATTACTAGAAGTTGTGATTCTTACCAGGTAGTTCCTGCCACACAGATCGCGGGTGACCACAGTCATCTGGTGCTGAAGGTGAAGTGAACACATCTCGGCCTTTCACTCTGTAACTATTATTAATTGTTACTGCTGCTTCTGCCTCTCTAGATACGTCTTCACTTCCCTTTTTATTTCCAAATGAACTAGGCAAGCTGGCTGTCCCCACTGGCTTTTCTGTCTCTATCCAGATAGCCTTCTCGTCCTTCTGAGAGCATCGTACAGAATTATTGTCCCCAGCAAAGCTAAGGACACCTCCACACCTTGTTTCCACCTCAAGTCCCCTGTTTGTCTGTTTCCCTTCTCTCCCTTGCTCTCCCTTTGCCGATTTTTCCTCTTTTCATCACGCTGCCACGGAACAGCTGGGGAAATGGGCCATGGGCAAAAAGACTGGCACTCGGGTTTTCTGACTCTCCAGTTCGTTAAGTCAGCACTTCAGTCTCTTTGAAGTAAGTGTTTTGCAGCTGAGGCACACGTGCAATGTATTTTAAGCACAAATGGTTTCAGTTCTTCTGTCCCGGATGTACTGAAGCTTTCAAACTCGTGATTTCAATACCATCTCATGACAGCTACAACTCTATCTTGCTCTAAGTCAGGAAAGTCAATATCATCTGTTGTTTTGGCACATTATATCCCTAACAAGAAAACAATCCGTATTGTGGAGTTCAAAATGTAATGAGTTTCCCGTCCAGATTTTTTCACGTGCACTTTTCTTGGCGGAAAGGGGAATGCAGGTGTGAAAGACAACAAAAGATGAACACCAGCCCACACCCAAATACCAGCTCTGCCTTTTGACACAAGGCTGTGACGGGTCTCCCTTTGATATCTGGCCCGTAACCTGGCTGTCCTCCTTGATTAGCAGAGCTGAGGAGGTCAGGGCCATCCGAACATGGGCGCCCTCCCAGAAAAAGGGAGCTGGAGCCACGCTGCTCACACAGACGTGTAGCTAGGCTTGTACTAGCCTACAGAGGTGCTGCTGTCACTGTGTGGAGGTGGTCTTGGAGAGCAGGAGCCACCTCGCTGTGAGTGGCCACGGGGCTGGGATGCTGCCAGGGGCACAGCCTCCCTTCCCCTGCCTTCCGTGCTGGCGCAGCCTGGGACTCCACCGTGTTTGTGCAGGTGGCAGCGAGGGCAGCCCGAAGGAACAGGTTTGCCTTTGCTTGCTTTGACTCCGCCAGCCCTCGCTTATCTCTGTCAATACAAGGAGCACTCCCCATCTGCTCGGCGTGTCTGATGCAATGCTGCACTGTGAGGCCACAGGAGCATGGGTATGTATTCCTGGGGGAAAAGTGCTCCCACTGTGGAGAAGGTGGGGACCTTATGCAGCACGCCATCTCGCCCTGACCTAATGAACTCCCAGCCCTGTGGAAACACGGCTCCCCAGAGGCTGCACTGAAACCAACAGTGTCCATCTCTTCCTACCTGTCCCCTCTTATTGATAACAGATGCTCCAGAGGGCCCTGCCCGGGGTCTGGAAGCAGGCAGGGGAGCTGCAGGGCCAGCAGGACCCACCTGGCACGCTGCGGATGCTCTTGGGGTTTATCTGCACACAATTGCATCCGCCTACTGCAGGGGGAGATTTCTAACCAGATACCCGTGGTGATTAAAGCCAGGGAGCTCTCACATCAGGCTTACACTGGTTGAGCAGCCGTCTGCTAGGAGCAGCATTTAACTACCTGAAGTAAGCTTCTTTTAAACCGAAATGGGAGCGTACATCAATTTTTAATTAACTGGGTCAAATCTAAATGAGTGGGCATGTCCAAAAGCTTTTTGTGAGCTAGAAAGCTCCATAGGGCAGGCTGAATCCAGCCTGCTAAATGTTTAAATAATTGCCAGGCAGGGCCCTGGCCAATGTTCCTTCAGGTGAGACAGTGAGCACCAGCAGCGCAGCCCCGGCGGGAGGCAGCTTTTCCAGCCTGGTTTCTTCCCAGTGCCTTGGAAATGAGGGATCCTGTTTATAAGCTGTCCTCCCCTTATTTCTGAGCCTTGTTTGAGAACATGCTTATTAGTTCCACCTTCCTCAAACACAGCCTTTGTGTCTTTAAGAGGACACAGGAAGCCTGTTTTGTTTGTGGGTTTCTTCTCTGACTGGGCTGTTTGCATTGCAGCTGGGTTATCTTTGGCAGATAGCGACGTGTTCTTGGCAGCAAACTTTCACCTTGAGCTCAGGGGGCGTAGCCAGGCAATGTTTTGCACACCTGTGGTGGGAAATTAGGAGAAATTTGCCTGTTTGCATCACTGCTGCGATGCTCAAACCAGTTCCACAGCAGTGCTATTACTGCATGCTTGGTGGAGCGCCTGGCCCCAAGAGGTGGGCGATTTATGGGGCACAGGGTGCACGCACGTGTGTATGTGTGTGTGGGTGCAAGAGCAAGGCTTGTGCTGCCTCGCCTGGACTTTAGCATTAAGCAGTTGGCAATCAGATGTACTTTGCTAATGTTACAATAACAAGTCATAACTTTTTGGTGTGCGCCCAAGCTGTTTTTAACCTCCTTATCTGCCCTGTTTGCTGTTACCAGCCCTAACACAGGGACTTGCTGTGCTGGAGAGGGGGCTGGTTTCTGTGCTACCTGAGGTGCCCCGGCCAAAAAGTGCAGGGAAACAAGGCAGACCTTACACAGGCATGCCCACCACAGGTCTGGCTGAGTGGAAATGCACTGAGACCACCAGGAAGAGCAGCCCAGGTCTGTCCTGGTGCTAATGGGGATCGGCACTGCTCCGGCTGGGCTACTCCAGGGCCTATTTCCATCTGAATGAAAGTGGGAAAGATTAACGCAGTTAGGCACAATATGCTAGATATTAGACTGCCAACAGGTCAACAAGGCAGCCAGGATGCTGTAAGTGATCCCAGAAGCCTTCTCTTTCCTTTTCTCTCACAGATCATGCTGGGTGGGAGGGTGAGGGGAGCTGTAGTGTGGCAAAATAGGAAAGAGCCTTCAGCTGTTCCTTCCTGTGCCAGGCACTATTGGTGCAGGGGTGGACAGAAACCCGGCAGTGCCTTGTGTGGCTAACACCAAGCTGAGCATGAAATAGAGTCAAGAGGTCTGACAGAAGTTGGTAGGCCCAATGTTCGTGGGTACTTTCCACCAGCAGACTAATGTCTCTGTGGCTGCTCGTTCACAGGCTGTGTGTTACTTGCTGCTTTTGTCCTCCTGCAAAGGCAGATGCTGCCTCTCATTCACAAGCTGCCACTGTTCAGCCATCAGCACATCTTTTCCCAAACCTCCTCTGCAGACTCTGATCCCAGAAGTAGCAGTGAGAGCCTGGTTGAATCGCTACCTGGAACTTAAGGTTAAGTAGGTACCCGTTTACACTGGGCTCAAGCAACCCAGTAAAATGAGAAGAAAACAAAACAAAACAAAACAAAATCCACAAAACAAGAAGTGAAAGAAACCCATCAGAAATACCATTCAGTCATATTCTTCCTCAGAGCTGCTCCATCTCTTTGCACTCTGGGCATGTTCACGCCGTGGCAAGGAATGACATGAACTCACTTTCATGAGTTACTCCTTGCCAGCCAAGCAAAGCGGGACGTGAATTATGCTTGCTTAAACCACCGTGCAGGTGGTCTGAGCAAGTGGATGTTACCTCAGAAGGAGCAGGCGAGGTGTGTGTGCACCAGGAGCTGGTGTGGGTCAGCTGGTACAGACTAACTAGCTCTGCTGTGGTATCTTGATTGCTGGTGATTGTGTGAACATGCCTGAGGATGCAGGCAGTACAAAGCAGAGCAGTGCTTATGAGGTTTTTGAAACTCACATCTGCTGTTATTTGGTCCTGGAGGCTTTCAGCAAAGACCACCCACTGAAACAAGAATCATTTTCCTGAAATGCAAGGGACCAAGACGTATTCAGTCTCATTCAATGCCCTTCTATGATCTCGTGGAGCCTTTGAATTCCTCTTTACCTACAAGAGATTTACTGTGGTGCAAAACGAGTTCCTGGAGCAAAAAGACTCTTTTCTAAGGGGATCTGTGCTCTTAGGGCTCCAGGTCTTTGGTCTTTAAAGATTAATGCTCCAATGTGCATTATCATAGGTTGCTAAAATATTCTTTTTCCCACCAGTTTCCTCATGTCAGCATTTCTGGAACTCCAGAGCATTGCGGCTGCTGTTATGTAAGGATTTATGAATGGCCACAAAGTTCAAAGGCATATTGGCAACCCCAAGTCCTGAAAAGCCAGCACTCAGCCCAAGCCTTGCCCCATTTCCCAAGAAGAAATTATTTGCCAACTAGTTCTTTTCCCAACTTTTTTTTTTTTTTTTTTTTTTTTTTTTTTAATTATTATTAGCTAGTGAACTTTAGGATCTCTTTATTCACTTCCTTATTTTGAAGCATTTAAGTCGCACTGGTTTCATATTTTCAAATCTTTCATCCACAACTTTGAGCACATGCTTTGTTTATAAATGGAAGCTGCAGTTCCCTTGTTTCAAGGAGCTGGGATTTTACAATACAGTCCCCAAAGGTTAAAAATTAGGATAAAATCACAGGAGTTGCCAGCAGCACACAGAGTCTCCTCTGTTGGGGAGAGGAGGTGTTGGACTGCAGCGAGTTGCAGGCATCAGCTCCAGCTCCTGTTGTGTTAGTGAGTCAAATAAAAATAACCTCATGGTTACATGCAAGCTCTGCAGGCCCAGCTGAGAAGACAACCTCATCTCTTTTTATCTGCAGTGCGTCACCAAAGAGCTCCCTTTGTAAACCTCTGGGTTGATTTCCCCGCTCCAGGTCTCTCCCCAGAAGGCCCCGGCAGCCCTGGCAGGGTGCCCTCAGAGTACAACAAGCCTTCCTCGGGATGTGGGGCAGGACGTGCTGGCCAGGCACTTCTGGGACACGTGGCTGTGGCTGCTCCCAAACCGGGCACATTTCGGCCCGAGCGATCTTCCTTTCTCCCCTCTCCTTCCTCTTCACTGCTGCTTTAATTGCAGCTTCGTGCCTCCTTTCACGTAGCCCCCCTCAGCTTGAATCAGATCCCTATTGTCTGGGTTGTCAACACAGCTGTTTAAATCCCTGCCCCCAGATACTCCTGCCTTCCAGAGAGCTGTCTGTGAGGAGCAGGCACCGCTCTGAGCTGGGGGCTTTTTGTCAGGTCCCAGGCTCAGGGCAGATATCCATTTGGCCCAGCATGAGGGCAGAATAGAGCTGAGCTCAGGGAAATAAATCCTCTGCTCCAGCCAAGCCTGATGCTCGCCGCCTGCACGCTGGTGACTTCTGCAGTGCTCCAGCCCGAGACTGACGGGCAAAGCAGAGCGAAGCGAATGATTAGCATTATTAAAAACGCTTTGCAATTATGCAGCGTCTTTTCATCTGAAGATTTCAAAGCTTCGCAGCACTCACAAAGTTACTTATTATCCCTGGCATTCAGCAGAGTCAGGAAATGAAGGAAAGCAGCTAAGTGACTCGCCTTAGGTCATGCAGTAAGTCGGCGTCAGAGGTGGGAACTGGGTCCCGAACTGCTGACTCCACTGCTGCTCATGCCCCAGCACGAGGCCACACCTCTGCCTCGCTGTGCCGGGCCTTCTCCTGGGGGTGCAGAGCTGGGGGAGCCCCCCGAGGGCCAGCACAGCTCAGTCAGGGGGTGCCCGGCTGGGAACAGCCCTGCCATGCTCCCCGTGAAGGACCCTCACAGCGAGGGGCTGTTGTGGGGTCTGTCATGCTTGGGGCTGCCATGCAGCTTGTTGTGCACCCACGGCCCTTAGTGCAGGCCCTGCAGGGCGAGATGTGGTGTGGTGAACGCCGCCACCGCAGCCCCTGTCACCAGGATGTTCCCCAGACAGCCTGCTGGCCATAAAAAGGACCTTTCTTTATGGCTGTCTTCTCCAGAGCCACTTCAGGCTGGATGGCCCAGAATGAGCTCTGTAGGAACCGGAGGCAACCAGAAGCAGCACTGCGCTCACTGCAGCAAAGATGCAGCAGCACAGGCAGCCTCCTGACCAGGTGCTCCAAGCCTGCTGAGCAGCCAGGATATACGTTCATACACCCGCCAGGAGATCAGAAATTTATTTCCAAAGTGTTCCTCTCCGTGGCTGGCCGAGCTGGCTGTGCTGAGAGGGACGCACCGGGTGCCAAACCCACGTGCCTTGAAGCAACTGAGCCGAAAAAGCCAAGCCCTCGTAGGCTGCCCCTTCTCTAACTTTCCGTTCAGTGTCAGGACTTTGGGATAGCGTGTCAGCATGGGGGGAACAAGGAGGGATTGAAGGGGGAGAGAGAGAGGAACGGTGGTGAGAGACAGGTTGGCCTCAGCTGCCAAGAGAAGGGCTTGGCTGAGTCTCCTTGCCCTGCTGAGGTAAAATACCTCTTGGGTGAACCACCATGAAGTTCACCTGCACACATATTTTTAAGGTTAAAATTTATCTCTAAAAAGGGCAACAAATCTCCTTCTGCTCTTCCATTCTGGTTTGCTGATATTTACCCTGGAAATAATAGAAAAAAATACACATTTGTCTTTTTTTTTTTTTCCCTGAAAGACTTCAGATGCTTCAGGCTTTTTAATGACAAACAATATCCTGCTTAAAGTATTACATCCTGCAATCAAGGCAAGCTTGACAGATTTCTAAGGTGCATTTAAACAAATAGCAGTAACTAATCAATATTATCAGCTTTTCTTAGGAGCTTGGGGATTTACATGTCTCAGTGTTACTGGGATGAGACTCCAGGACTGGGAATAAAACTCCAGTTAATTAGGCATAACTTCACTGGGGATAAAACCCAGGCAAGGGGGAAAACTTGAAAGCAGATGCTGCAGTTAAATGAATTTCAACCTCAGAAATAATATTGAGAATAAGCAGTTATTACAAGGAATCATTTTGAAATGGTAAAAAAAAAATGATTGGTTATAAAAGCTATGTCTCATAAGTCAGGCAGAGTTTGGTCTTCTAAAGGATATTAATAAAGCATTTTTCCTGGTTTCACATGGTTGAAGAAAACAGGGAAGGAGGAAAAAGAGCAGTTATTCTGCAGAGAGCATGGGATAGAGTTTAATTTATGTTAGGTGTGTGCAAAACCTGAGTTCATATGAACTCTCACTGATGGTAAGGTTGTTAACCACGTGGCTGCTGCTGAGAAGGAGAATGGGATGGGGCTGTGGAAATGTTCACAGCCAGCATAGAAACAAATCTCCGGGCTCCCTCCTGCACTGAAGGCAGAGGAACGGGCTCATCCACATGCCAGAGCTCCTGAAGAACTGGCCCCAGCGTCTTCAGCAGATTCCTCCAGTTAGGGACCGGAGCAGAGCGAGCACACGGCCTGTGTGTATGAAGTGAACTGATCTGGACAAGAACAGGCATGAACGTTTCAGCTTAATGGTATATGAAAAGCTTCAGAGCAAACTGTGAAGGAAAGGATAGGTAAAGAGAGGGAGGTAAATGCCGTGAGATTAAATGGGTTTATCAAACCCATTTATCTTTCTTGGGTAAGGTAAGGCATTTACTTGGTGAGGGAACTGGGGTGGATCTCATCCATCTGGGCTTAAATTGCACAGTGCTTACAGTGCAATGTGGAAAGTCCTAAAAAAGGGGAGAAGAGATTTAGCACAAGATGTAAATTCAGTAAAGACCTGCCATGAGAAGAGTGCAAGACTGCCAGGCTAGAGGGAAGTTACCGGGGGGTGTTAAACGTCACTCCTGGAGATCTGGCAAAGTGCTCTTGTAAATGAGCTTGGCACAAACGTTGGTGGAGAACTAGTGAAATTGCTGATGACAGAAAATACCAAGCAACCTCAGGACAAAAGAGGCCTGAGGTATTATACAGAAAAAAAAGTAGTCAGCTACAAGGAGAGAAATCAGCAGAAAGGGAAGATGACCAAACTCTCTTCTACAAGCGAACTGGCAGCTCACACTTTGATCACAGAATAACTGAGTTCCCAGATTGATGGAAACATGAAGAAAGCAATGTGATCCTAGAAAACAACGGGAAAGGCACAGCCCAGGCTGCAGTGAAAGCACAGGTGTACTCAATGAGAGGCTACTTTTCTTGATTTTACAATGCAGGAGGATTTCTCTCTGTCAATACATCATGGAAGTATCTCCCAGGAAGGGAAAGGGAAGACCTAGTGGTACTAAAGGCCAGTGCTGGTAGATAATAAATGAGCAAAAGGAGGCATCAGACATTTTTAACAGATGATTGTTACTAACCATTCGACAATCTGGGAGGAACAGCCTGCCAGTTGCAGTCGTGCATGCAAAATATTAAATTGTTCTGAAGACGGAACTTGATAAGTTTGTGAGAAGGATTATATCACATGGTGCCTGTGATATGGGACGTGGTAGCCCAGAAGTTCCTGCCAGTCCTATGCACATAGGTAAATATTTTGTAACCCTCTGACAATATAAATATGGAGCATGTGATTATACACACACAGAAAGCGGGCACGTGATTTATTAATCACAAGACCTCAGCTTGTCAAATAATAATTACAAGACAATAACACACCTTGTTGTAATAAGTGGCTCCCTAAGATTTTCTCCCACAGTAAACCAGTAAAAAAAGGACAATTATGCTGAGGTAAGGACAGTATTACATGTTTCTGGTTGTTAGCTTTTAAATGAACTCACTGTCTGGAAGTCTTTACAGGCAAATCAAGGGCTCCCTTTTTCTGCACATTTCACAAGTTCAGCCCTTTCCTGTAAAGTGTCTTTTCAGAGGCATGATCGTCTTTGTTAAGGCAAGAATGAACAGATGACAACTGTAACACAGAGGAGACATGCCTGAAACAGTTTTACAATGCAAACCCGAACCTGGGGTGTCTGCCAGGAGGGTGCACTCAGAAGCACGAACAGGGATGAGTTTTGTGCACTGTCAGGGTGCACAAGTCACGATACAGACAGGCAAGCTATGGTTTGGGAAAGCACTTGTCCAGAGACATCTCAGCAAGTGACTCTTGAGTTTCCTCAGACAAATGTGAGCCTATTCCCCTGCACCTCCCAGAGGTGCCCGTCCCCAGCAGGTGCTGCAGATGCAGGGCAGCCCTGCCCCAGCTCACACACAGGGCTGCAGGAGGATGTTCAAAAGCAAATCTAATTACTGAGCATTAAATAAGTGAAGGCGTGCTTTAGCATCCTTTCAACCCGGAGCTGACACTGACTGGTAAGGAGTGGGATTGCTGTGCTTGCAGTTCATTTTATGAAGGCACCTTGAAGCCCTTGCAGAAGACACAAAATAAAAGTGCATTGAAGGCAAAGAACCCAGAAGGCCAAGAGACAGGGAACTGAGCAGAGCAGATTGATTTAGCAGATACGATACATTTTTGCTGTCTGCATTACGGATAGAAATCTATATTTTAAGTGACACTGCGACAGACTAGATTGTGATCAAACAGAACCGCTGAGGTTTCAAGATCGCAGACGCTGCCTTTTGAAAACACTTAAGAACAGAAAGTAAAACTCTGAGAAATCCGCAGTGGGGAGTGCAAAGAAAATGACCTGCGATGTGTTTAACCAGAGGCAACCTCTCTGCTTTCTGCTGCTCTCTGCGGTGCGGGAGGGCCGATGGCCAACGCGAGCCACAGTGGGATGAAAAGCAAAGGCCGGCAGCACGCCCACGAGGGTGCGTGTGCTCCAGACCCAGGCTGGGGAAGGGCTGCTCCACGCGTTTTGGGGAACTCCAGCCAATGGTTTCCTCCCCTGGGTGTCATGGGAGGGCTTGGCCAGCGAGCGAGAAAGGGAGGGGAGAGTTTGAAAACAACCCAGCAGGCGCTAAGGGAGGAAGAGAGCTGGGAAGTGACCCGCTCGCCTCTCTTGCAGCACTCTGCTCCAGGTGGAGGGCAGCAGGGGCTCCCAGCGGCTCCCCACGCGGCGTGGCGTGGCACGGTGTGACACGGTGTGACACGGTGTGGCACGGTGTGGCACAGCGTGGCAGAGCTCCTGGTACAGGTAACCTCGCGTGGCAGCTGCGGGCTGCCCACAGATGCTCAGAAGGGCTTTTTTCTTCTGTTTTCTTTTTTTTCTTTTTTCCTAAGAAAACCTGGGTTTGGTCTGAGCGATGCATGGTTTTTTGCCCTCTTGTTTCGAGGGGGATTTGGGAGGTATGTTGGCTATTAATACAGCTGGGGGATGGAGGCAGGGAGGGAGCAAGCAGCTCTCTGCAGCTCAGAGATTTGTGTGTGATTGGCTCTGTCTGTTCAGTATTAAGGTTTTGAGGCTGGGAAGGCAAAATGGTGATATCTTTTAGTAGGCTGGTAGATAACAGTGGGAAAATACAAATAATCTTGCATGCACATCAGTCCTTTTTCATGTCACAGTGTCTTAGAAATCTGAAAGTATGGACAGTCAAACATAGACAAGATTTTCAGTGGTTGATAACCGGGGTGCTAATAGAGACGTGCAGCAGAAGAAAGGAAAACCACTCTGTTTTCTTGTCTGGCGGTGTGCTGGTTAGTTCAGGAGCGTTCATCTTCTCTTGATTTAATCACCCTGCTTTTGGGCCTCGTGGAAGTGACCCAGTCCAAAATTTAACCAGAAAAATCCTCCCCCAAATTTTCTGCGGTGCTTTACACCTGGTAGTAGCATTTGCCATGTGTTTTGTGGCATCTTCTCTTGTCACTATTTCAAAATGCTTTTTCTGCCACCTCCTTTCTCCTCTTCCAAGCTCCTCTCCTGTCCTGCTGCAGGGAAAGCCGAATTCCCTGATCTTTGCTAGTGGACAGAAATTATTTTCCAGATTTCTGAGCTGTAGTGGTATGTACTACTCGGTTAGGGTGAAAGAGCAAACTAGAAATTATTTTTTGATTGATGGGGGGAACAACATAGTTTGAGGCTGCTTCTGGGTTGCTTATGAAAAAAAGCCTTGTGTGAGCATGTGAAACTGTCCGGACTTGAAAATGCCTGGAAAAAAAATGCCTGGAACCTGGAGTCTTCAGGAACAAGAAAGATTTTCTTCCTGTCATTTGCCCGACGGGAGCAGCATTTATCATTTATCACTAGAAACACGGCAATCACGCCGCATGCTCGTTTCCCAGATCACTGTTGTTTTGATTCTTAACCCTACTTCTGATGATTCATGTGGAGCTGGGCCAGCAAATGCACTCGGAGCCTCTTACACAAGGGAAGCCTGGCTTTTAACTCCCTCAAAACCACGCCGATTTGGGGCAAAATTCCACCAGAATAATACCTAACAGCCCCATAAAACTCAGCTCATGGGGCATTTATGTAAAAAACAGCGTAAAACCCAGCTGGTAGGGGACGAACTGAGGGGGATTCTCTGTGGGGAGTGAAAAACCTACAGGGCACAAACCCCTCAGCGGGGCGGTGTGGGGGCATGGGTGGATGGGTTGTGAGGCTGCCTCCATGTCAAACCTGCACATGAGGCAGGAAGGTGGAGGTTTGGGGCTGGGTGAGGGTGTAGGACTGTAGGTTGTAGTGGTGTAGGACTGTAGGTGTGCAGGGTGTAGGACTGTGGGGTGTAGTGGTGTAGGACTGTAGGGGTGTAGGTACAGGCCACACAGCCCAGCCGCGGCCCCCTCCCCGCCCGAATGGTTCCGTCCCGCTCCCCCCTCCCCTCATGGTCTCGCCCCCCTCCTCTCCCTTCTGTGCCCAGCGGGCCGAGCCCCCCCCCCACCTCCTCACCCGAGTGCGCTGATTGGCCGAGGCGGCGGGCGGGAGCCAGCCAATCAGCGGCGCCGCTCGCAGCCGTGTCGCTGGGGGGAAGAAAACCCAAACAAGCGGGGCCGGGGGGCGGGGCCCGGCCGAGCGGAGCCGAACGGAGCCGAACGGAGCCGAACGGAGCCGAACCGAGCCGAGCCCAGCCTCGCCCCGCCCCTAACGGTCCCGCTCTCGGCTGAGGGCTGAGGGGAGGCGCCCGGCCCGGCGGGCCCCGAGGGGCTCCCGTGAGGTGCGGGGCAGCCCTGCTGTGGGGAGCTGCAGCCAGGGCTCTAATCGACGCCTGTTATCCCACCTGAAACCTAAAGTTCTGTTATAAACGACGTCTTTCTCTTAATTGGTGCTGAATTTGGGGGTTTTGTCTGCTTTTTCAAAGAGGTGCAGCGGCTGATGGGACGTCCCGCTGGAGAGGGGTGCAGCGCTGCTGGCATAGACCCACCGCACGGCCAGCCCTGAGGAGGAGCTGCTGGATGACTGTGTGAGGTAAACACCAAGCAAACGTGTCTGAATTGAGCAAATGTGAGGCAAAATTCCCTGTTCTGAAGCTGTGGGTAGACCCGTGTGGTGCCAGGGGGTTGGGCTCAACGTGTCCCTTCCAACGCTGGATATTTGTGATGTTCCATGATTAAAAATAGTATGGGGACAAGGAGGATTGTGTACTGCATTAAATTAACTGTTGGGATGGATGTTAGGAAATGACAATGTGGTGGCAGTTTGGTACCGTGCCCTAACCCTTCAGTTCCTTTCCTGTCAGCGCGCTGCCATGAATCATGTGCAGTTGGTAGGTCTGTGGCAGGAAAGTGGGCATAAAAGGGGAAAACCAGGAAAGGAGAAAAGCGGAAGGGAGCGATGCCGTTTGGTGTCACAATCTTGCCACTCAACGGTAAGCTGCTTTCAGGGCAGCAATGGATGAGAAAGAAGAGCCACGGTATTCTGATGGGACAGGCACATACTGGTCATAGTCACAGCGCTACAAAGCAATCTGTGAGGATCTCGCAGGTAAAAAAAAAAAAAGTGCATGGGGAGTTGTGAGGCTGCTTTAATTTTGTGCACATAAAGGGAAGATGGATGAGCTCGGGAGGGATGAGCTCTTTCACAGTGACCTGTGGTGGTTTGTGGAATAGCAGCTGCTAGGAAAAGAGAGTAACAAAAAAAAAAAAGTGAAATGTTCTAACTTACCCCGTGCTGATTGGCACAGAGACATGTGAAAGTTTGACAGTTGTACATAAACACATACGTTAAAATATAACCACGGTGTCCTTGAGGGGAGGAACAAAAAGTGTCTTGTTTTTTAAGGATTTGTCTGAACTCGATAAACTGGTACCATTTTATCAGTATAGTTCAACCTGAAGAACATTTCTCTTGTGGATGCAATTATTACATTGATATTGCGTGCTTGTGTAGATAACTGCTCTGCAGAGGTGGACGGTCCTAGGTTGATAGAGGTGACTTATCAACTTAAAAAAGATGCATACAGGGGGCTTGTACCCTTAACATAACGGTTTTTATCCTGGTTCCTCCTATATAGGCAGCAGAACTGACAACTGCTAAGACATAAAGGCTTTGATAGATGTGTTTAAGGGTGGTGCTGTCTCATGTTACATCTTCTACCTTCTCAGGAGTTTTTCAGTGGCTGCTGGTAGATAAGTGTAACTTAAACATATTTTGTGGGTGAAGCCTTTATAACTCTGTACTCCTTTCGGATTTAGTCTAGTGCTTTTCTTCACCTGGGCTTCTCCTTTTCCGTTTAGGCCCTGAAGGGAAAGCGTTGAGACTTTACATTTCACAGTCAGTTCTGTTAAGCAACTATGGAAATAGAAAAGGAGCACGTTTATGTTAACACAACAGGTAAGTAATAGATTCAGTACCTTTTACTTTTATTTGCTTAGCTGACCTAAAGTGTTCTCTGTTGTAAATTGTATTGCCTGTTAATTTTTAACACTACTGCTTTAAGAAAAAAACTTCACATATTTACAGAATATGTGGTGAAGTTGTTTTTTTTTTTTTTTAAAGGGTATTTCGTTCAAGTATATGTTACAATATCCTGCTTGATGTTTATTTTGAAGCTTCTCTGAAAATGATATTTCTCCCATAAGTTAGTAAATAGTGACTTTCGACTCTGTCATGTGATTTTTCAGTAGTGCAGGTGTAAAGGCAGGTGTGAAACTGCCTTGAAATTGACAGCTTGGTCCATATCACAAGCACATTTTATCATGCTTGGTCAAATTAATGTAATTTCATGTTGTTTTTATGTGCCTTCCAGAGATTGTGATGATCTGCACCAACCTTCTTATGTCAATTAGTTTTTGTAGGTTTTGTAATATTTTTTTTTTTTAAATTACATATATGTTATAGATAGTATGCAATGCAGTTGAAGTGGCAGCATTCTGCATATGAACTCTTACTTTAAGCTTGAATTAGTTTGCTGCAGAAGATGCGTTGCTTCTCAGCATTTTAGAATGACGTTTGGATAATGGATGGGAGGCTGTGAGATACCTAAATTGATCTAATTTGGTCAAATGAAACTTGTAGGTAGGTAAGTATTTGCTGAACGTTCTTTTTGTCTAATAGTAGTGCCCATAAAAGCACAGCTTTCAACTATGCCTGCTAGGCTTAATAGCAGGTTAATTAGATCAATTTGGATAACTTTTTAATACGTGGTAAGCAAAGCCTTAAAGTGTATAGGATGCTGTTCCTGCTTGTATATGTGATGTTAAAATGAGACATTGGAAAGATCTACGTCATTTTTTGTGTACTTCTAATGAAAGAGATTTATAAAATTATTCAAAGCTAGTTTAACTTTAATCTGTTTTTTTTCTCAACCTAATTAGGTGACTAACAGTGGAGGGCCAGTAGGTCACAGTATTGTGGAGTAAGAGGCTACAGGTGGTGTTACGTAAAAGTTAAAAGAAAATGTAGTAAGAAATCAGTAATGCAGTATGAAATCCTGAATCTTATGGGTTGGATGTTTCCTGTGGATGATTAAATTTAGACTTGAACCTGAGATTGGGACTGTGTAGAGGCTACACTGTAGTCTCCCCCTTTTTTCCTTAGTAGTCAAAGTCATGATTGACTTGTGTTAATTAAATGTTGACCATTTTCTTTGAAAATGGAGAGAAATAAGTGGTCATCGAAGAGTGTAGATCCTGTATAGCCTGGTTGCAGGTCTGAACTGGAGAAATTCATGGGAGACTGGGCATGGTGCAGAATCTTAATTCAGTTATCTGAGATGAGCTGGTTCTGCTGGCGAGGGCTCCCTGGGGAAGAGAAGGAAGGAAACCTGTTCAGTTTTGCTTTTTTGCCCTCTGCTAGCTTTATGCAAATCTTTCATTGTGGTATTAAAATATTATAAAGCTGAGAGTGCTTGTTGTGGGAATTCTTTTCTGTACGTAATGGATGCTTTTCTTTTTTTAGCTTGCTGCAAGCATAAAGGGAATGCTTTTGTGGGAGTAATGAGTGGAAAGATGAAGCTTATATGGGAATGACTGCATTATTGTTCAGCTATAGCATTCACATCTGTGAGCACTAATATCTAAATGTTGCTTCTTTGATCATGAAGGAGGCAGTTGCATCAGGATTTCTTCATTTTGCAGTGCAGTGTCCTCTTTGATATGAGTAAATACTTTGAGGTTGGAAATATTTTATTAGTGCACTTTGCTTTCAAAACATTTTCATGAGCTTGTTTTGAATTGAAAAAAAAAAATCCTGTTCTGAGAACTGTTGCCAAATGAACGTTTTTAATTAGAATGTATTGGAATGGTAAAGTAATATATTTGGCTACCTTCAAATAGAAGTTTAAAATACTCTTCATGTTCTGGGTTTAGGGCTGCAAACTTTTCTGTAAAGCAGGTTTGGCACAGCTGGAAAAGCAGCTTCTTCTGTGCGCCTCATCAGTGTACATCCTGGGGTTGGGGCCATAGGCTGTGGCTGTGAGACTCTACCAACTGCAGAAAAATAAGAAGGAAGAAGAGGGGGAAGAAAAAATTACAGGGACTTTTGCGCTAAATAAAACATTCTGCTGAACCATAGAGTTCATGTGGGGGAAAGTCTAACTCTCTGCAATACAAGACTTTAATGCACATTTCAAATTTGCATCTAACTTAAGAAAATTGTGACAATCAATGAAATTATTGCACCTTTCAATGCTGTGAGATATTTTTGGATTCTTAAGTTGTGAGAGGGCTTTTTTCATTGTGCAGAGGGTGTTTTAAAAGGAAACAGGTCCTGTTACATATGTTTTTACTGGGGAAAAAAAACATGGTAATTTTTAGAAGACCTACCCCGCAGTAAGGAACAATCCCTAAAGAAGACAGATCATATTGTTTCAAAGTTTGTTACCAACCTCTCCAGATTTTGTATTAAACTGCACTTTTTTCATACCTTTAAAAACAGAAATTAGTGATCTCATTCTTGTATTCTTTAAAGTGTAAATCATTGATTTTTCCAGATGGTGAGCTTTGTTTGAAATTCCTTGAATGAGAGGAATGTTGCTTGATGATGTAGGAAATTAATTTCACTTCGGTGATCATTCTGTTAACATTGCTGAGTTCTTACAAAATTTACTGCACTGGCAGTTCTGTTTGTTTCCAAGTCAGGCGATGAGTGGGTGGGGTGATAACAGGGCACCTAGACCTTCTGTGCTGAGGAATTCTGATAGATTGTTTAACACGGGTGGAGTTCTTTGCGGTTTACCTGTTTATAAATGGTTTATTCATTTGCTGTCTGCCTCTTGACATATGCTCTGTTTAGATTGTGGATGGTATGTGGAGGGGGATAAGGAACGCCTTATTACTGTGATGTGTGGACATATTTAAATCAAACACCACCGCTTGCCTGTTGAATATGAGTGCTATTAAATGCTGTAATCCATTTTAAATGCAGCATTTTGGTATTTTAACATAAAATACTTTAAAACAGTAACAAAATTTCCACTTTGCCTCCTTTTTAAGAACTTGAGAACCTCAGTGATGCTCCATTTTCCGGTGATGAAGAAAATGGTGGGTCTGACGAACGAAAGACTGAAATCAATGGAAATTGGATTCCTGCAACTTCGATTACTGAAGCCAAAATAAACGCTAAAGCCAAGAGACGGTTGAGGAAAAATTCTTCCAGAGATTCTGGGCGAGGAGACTCTGTCAGCGAGAATGGAGAGACACAGAAGACTGGAGTTGTCATTCCAACGAGCCCAAAGGGGAAACTCCTGGATAGGCGGTCCCGGTCCGGAAAGGGAAGGGGTCTGCCAAAGAAAGGTTGGTGTAGCTCAGTGAAAAGATTACTGTGATGATGATTCTGTCAAGAACATAGGGATTTTGTTGTCACTGAGAACCATACTTGTAGCCCACAGTCTATGCAGGCATTTGCTTTTTTAGTTGCTAGGTGGCAATAGGAGCTAGGTGGAATCTTATATCAAAAATTTGTGAGTATCATTAAGTAACTTGTGTCTTTGAGTTAGGTATCTTTTAATAGTAAATTGAAGTAATCTTTTAATAGTAAATTGAATATAAATTTGAACAATTTGGCGTTGAGGCGGTACACAGGACTGTTACTAATGCAAACTGAAAGCATGGCTATATTCAAAAGTACAGTTGTTTCAAACTTCAGCAATTCTTACACAGTTTCATTCATCTAGTGTCTTACTGGAAAGTAATGAAAAGACTGGTTGCTGAAGTGGGAATGTGTCAGAGAGACACTTCTGTCGTTTTCAGCAAATATGGCTAGAGTCAGGAGGTGGTCACAAGCACATACTGAGTCAAAGAATGTTGGGTTGAACTGAAATTATTGCATGTAAACTGACTGTCCTTGCTTACTGTCCTCTATTTCGCCAGGTGGAGCAGGTGGTAAAGGAGTTTGGGGAACACCAGGTCAAGTGTATGATGTGGAAGAAGTAGATATTAAGGATCCTAATTACGATGATGACCAGGTAGGGCAAATAATTTCCTTGCACAATGCTTGTTTTGATTTCCTTTATTACTTAAAATTGCTGTGATGCTTATATTAATGAAAGTTTAACCTCACAAGTTATGCGGGTGTTGGACTGGCTGTACTAAATGCTCATTTTTATGTTCAGTAATGGATTGTTGGCTAGCTAAAGGGGTGTGATGTAGGAGTGTGGTAGCGTAACACTATAGATCTTAGACCTAAACTTTCCCTCTGTGTCTGACTAGGCAGCGTGGTTTTCCCAGGTGTGTTCTTTCATTGCTTGTTCCCATGGAGGTGAATGTTGCAACGCTGCTCTAAATTGCAAGCAAGCACCAAGTTAAAAATACCACAGAGATTCTTAAGTTGGGAGTTTAGTCCATGACAGTATCTGTTAGGGATTGTTCTCTTCCTTATATTTCTCTTCCTTATATTTCCAACATACACGTTTCTTGTCTGCTTGGTATTTGTTTAGGATATGTTGTGGAAGATTGTACCTTACAGACATTATCAGGGGAGAAAAATGGAAAGCTCATTGGGCAAATAGTTCTGTATCAAGTTAAATCACTGAGAAAGAGAAACACAGGTTATGGACACAGATTACTGAGGTCTCTGTGATGAATACATTTGTGAGACCATAAGTAAGGTGTGCACAACATCCCCACAGTGATGGAGGAATCCTTTGAGCAGAGGTTGCTGCTCGTAACCATAGCTGCTGAGACGATGCTATCTTGGTATGCAAGAACCTGTTTTCACAATCATTTTTTCCTGCAATTCAACACTGACATCAGCAGACATGGCTATTGAAAACAAACCTGATGGTTTCATAAAATGAAGTTTTATGAAGAATTAATATTCCAAGGAATACCTGCGTGCTTAGCTTTTTGTAAACATAGTCTATTGTGATAGGAAAAATAGGCTTTTGGTCTTCTGCTGGAATTCTTGACCGTGATAGATATTAGTTGGAAACTTCTTTTTTCTTTTAAATATTGCTTTGATCTCTAGTATTGCTCTGAGTATTACTTCTGTAGTCTTTGAGGAACTGAATTATAGTGGAGAACTCTTCAGAACCAGGTTATACAGGAGGCAGCTGCTGTGTGATTCCTTTTTCTCTTTAGGGAATGTCTTCACTCACAAATGTTCTGAAAATGCCTTTCTCTTTCATACTATCACCTGTCTAATCACAAAGTCCCTCCAGGGAAGAGGGAAAACAGGCAGGCTTGTTGTCGTGCTGTCAGGGACAGAAGTGCCATTGCAGGGAAGGCTGCTAGAAGTTAAATCTTCTGTTGCAGCACAGATAACTCAGCTGGGCTTTAACAGCAGTTTCTGTCACCCTCCCTTGAGTACATAGGTACTTGATCTCTGTGTTCGTATGGTGTCAGCAGAAATGCAGTGACAGAGTTTGAACTATTTTCTGTCATTGAACAGTAAATTCAAAATATAAGAAACGTGACATTTAGCCAGCATCATCCACAGTTAAACTGTAGAGACATAATCTGGTGTTTTCTGGTAGAATACTAACTACCGAGACTGTAAAAGCATTAGGGATGTAGAAGGCGTTTTTTGATGCTATTAATGCTGCTGAAGATTTAAGAAGTGACTACTGTTTACAAAAGGGTTTATGCTTTTGTTTCTTTTGAAATAGGAGAACTGTGTCTACGAAACAGTAGTTCTACCTCTGGATGAAAGAGCATTTGAAAAAACTCTGACACCAATCATACAGGAATATTTCGAACATGGAGATACTAACGAGGTTTCGGTATGTCACATGCCTTTATTTACTTCAGGGGGCAAACCTGTAGTGCACGAGGGAATCCAACTGCCAGCTGTAAATGAGCGTTGGCAAGAAATGTGCAGTAAAAATAGCTAAGCAGTTCTATTCATTACATAAGCAGAAGCGTACGTGTATGTGTGTATACGTATTTGTTTATAATATATATTTAATATTGAAATGATGAAATGTTAATCTGTTTTGTTTTTCAAATCTTATTCAGGAGATGCTGAAGGATCTAAACCTCGGTGAAATGAAATACAGCGTGCCAGTGCTGGCTGTTTCCTTGGCGTTGGAGGGGAAGGCTAGCCACAGGGAAATGACATCTAAGCTTATCTCCGACCTTTGCGGGACAGTAGTAAGCAAAACTGACGTGGAAAAATCATTTGACAAACTGCTTAAAGACCTACCTGAATTGGTGTTGGATTCTCCCAGGGCACCCCAGGTATATCTGCAAATTTTTGTGGTAGAAGTCAAAACCTTTTCCTTCTAAATTACAGCTAAAATTCATCAAGCAAATTGAAACAAGGCTCTGCATTTTGAAAAACAGCTATAGATCGTCTTGGTATCTGTAATCCCCTATCCAGTTTCCCAGGCTGTGTTTTCTACTTTGAGCTGTCTCATTTAAATAAAATCTTAAAACCAAATACGTTGTAACTTTCTACTTAAGCTGTTTTGAAATTCAAGGTTTATTTAAAAAATGCTTCTTTTTTTTTTTATAGTTGGTGGGCCAGTTTATAGCTAGAGCTGTTGGAGATGGGATTTTAAGCAGTACTTACATAGATGGCTACAAAGGAACTGTGGATTGCATCCAAGCTCGGTAAGTTCCTTGCTTTCTATAGCAACATTTTTTTCTATTCCACATGCCTAAGAAGAAAATCGTGAATATGAGGCTTCAGGATGAACCATGTGGTTCTGTAATTGCTTTTCTAATTTCAAACTATCAAAAACCCACATCTGCAACAACAAAATCCAGAATTGCTGATGCCAGAGGAGAAATACTGAAAGTGCCTTAAAACTATATTCAATATACTGGAGTTCAACTTGTCAGTTTTTTTGTCTGGCTTACGTTTTGGGGGGGATAACCTGAGCTGAAACTAGACGCGACTATAGAAGGTTGTGTTTTCTACAGAGGAAAGTCTTTAATGTGACTAAAGACTAATAGCATCAGGACAGCTGCTGTAAATATGTTATGAAATATGCAAGTGATCAAGTGTTTTGCCTCACAAAGATTTTAAGTTTGTGTAGTGCCTTCCTAGACTTCCTTTGTGATGTTTCATTTATCAATAAATAGAATTGTTTTCAGTTCCAGGGTGAGAAGTCTGAAGGAGCAATCTCTGAGCAAAGAGGAGCATTTCAGAAACTAGCCATGCATTTTTAATTCTTTCCCCATAAGTATGTTTCAGGCTTGATACTGAGATGCTAAAACTCATACAACTTCTAATGGTGCTTAACTGGAGCTGTCTTTTTTTTTTCACTGTTTTTTTCTCAATGAAACAACAAACTTCCCTAGTTAACAACATTTTTGCAACTACATATTTGCCTTCTGAAATGCTGTCTTGGCTTAAATTCCAAAGGTTTCACAATTCTTTAGACAGAAAACATTTCAGTACAAAAGCCACTTTTCAGCATGGAAACAACTCAAGCCTCTTGTTCTGAGATGCACATGCTAACCTGCATTTTTGTTGGAGCCCAGTTCCTCTCTACAAAAGAAACTATTAAATTCTTTCCTATGAGACTGTTTCAGGTTCTGCACTGATGACACAGAAACACTACCATTGCAGGATTGTTCCCTGTTCAGAGCACAGCATAACCGAAAGCGTAAGGGTGGCAGAAAGAGAGCACAGGAAGGGTTCTCTTGCTGGCGTCTTCATCTGGAAGGCCCAATGGAGTTACTAAACCTGACCTTTTCCCAGAGATAGGATCACTTTGGTCAGAGAAGAATGGTGGGGGTGAGGGTGTTGATGCTACAGATGTCTTCTAGAGATTTATTATGAAACTTTACTAAAATTTGAATTTCTCTTTCTAGAGCGGCTCTGGACCGAGCCACTGTGTTGCTGAGTGTGACAAAGGGCGGAAAGCGTATAGACAACGTGTGGGGGTCAGGAGGCGGCCAGCAGTCTGTGAAACACCTTGTTAAAGAGGTAACTCACGTACAAAACTCTTCTCCCCAGAGTTTACTGTTTGTCTAAGCTTACCTTGTTTGGGATGGAGCAAAGAGATGCATACATCCCATAGCAAAATGATGTCTCGAGTGTTGTCTTTTATTTTATTTATTTTTTTATACAAAGTAGGTTTTAAAAACTGATGTAGATCCATTTGTGGATGGAAATGGATGTCTGTAGTGGTCAGTGGGGGGGGGGGGGAACATACTAGGTAATACCCTTTATTGCAAGATTACACCTATTCTTACTTTAAGCAAAATTTTAAGCACTTAGCTTTTAGGAGTTCACAGTACAAAATGATGAAGTAATAGAGGAGCCAACATGAAACTGGCTAAACTAAACTATCTTTTTGGCATCAGTGATTAAAAGCACTGTAATAACTCAAAAAAGAGGGAGGAGGCAGAAACAGGGAAGCTTGGTGGTCCCTGCTATGAAGCAAGGAGGTTTAAAGGAAGCAGTCACATTGTAATTCCTAGTTTGTGAGTGTAGCAGATGACAGGAGCTCAAGTGAGAAGATAAATTTATGTAGGTATCTTACAAAACAATGTGCTTGCATATCTGTATTACATTATGAGCAGGTATTTGGCTTACTTTGTGTTTCAGGTCTCAATTTAATTACGTTTATAAAAACACTAGCTGCAAGTTTCAGGAACTAACTTGCTGCCAGGTTGATTATGCAGCATGAAAAAACAGATCATCATCAAAACAGTTGACAGCTTTTAAATCTTGTATCTAATTAGTTTTGTTTTGTTTTAAAATTCAATAGATTGATATGCTGCTGAAAGAGTATTTGCTTTCCGGAGATGTACTGGAAGCTGAACGTTGCCTTCAGGAACTGGAAGTACCCCATTTTCACCATGAACTTGTGTATGAAGTAAGGAGAAATCAGTCCCTTTGAGGATTGCCAGTAAAGCCAACAGATTTTGTTTTGATGTGGGCATGCATATAACGTAACTGGAATTTGAAGCTGAGGTTGCAAGTTCTGATGTTATTTAAATAACTAAATTATTTCATGTCAAGCTAATGGTTTATGTGTTCACTGTGTGTATGTTGTGCAAGAAGTTGCTGGTCCCTCTGGGAATATCCAGAGTTAATTTTTTTTGTTGTGTTTAGATTATTACAGATCTCTGAGAAATAAGAGGTCAGCTTATTTTCTGCTGAGGAATAGTAGCAAAGTCATAGCTTGTATTGGTGTTGACTTGTTTTAGTTCCGTACTACAACAGATTTTAGACATCTGTGTATTCTAATGGGTGTTCCCTATTTTTGTTAAGTTATGAAGCTTTCTCTTTAGGGTGGAATTATTCCTTCTAGTACATCTGTAAAAAGCTTTGAGATGTTTTAGAACCAGACTATATGAGAGAAGGATCTTTGTTTTATGTGGAAGGTGACTGTTCGGAATTGTACTCTTACCTGCCAAACTGGGAGATGGTTGTTCACCAGTAACACCAAACACCCACGAACTGCAACATTTACTTTTCAATAAATTGACTCCTTTTAGAAAATCCTCTTAGGATAGAAAACAGATACCTCTTGGTTGATGGGGTTTGTGGAGACCGGTTAAGTTGTAAATTTTCCTCTAAAGTCCTGGATGCAAAAATCATAGACACAAAATTCATCTGTGCTGCAGCAACCAGATGGGTAGTCATATACCTCTCAAACCAGGAAATATTCTGCACTCTGTCTAGTCCTTTCTGCTTTTTTTTTTTCATTTTCTTTATACCTTTTATCTTTATGCAAATAACTTTTCATCAGTCTTTCTTTTCAAATAATAATATACTGGAATTGTGACTGCTTGTAACGAATGGACCTGTCTCGTCAGAAAATGCACAGTAATGTGTTCATTGCGTTTTGTACTTCATGTGCTTACATGTGTACTTTAACCACTATTTTCTTTTCAGTTAAAATGCTTACATGATTTGTTTTAGGCAATTGTGATGGTTTTGGAGTCAACTGGAGAAAAGACCTTTAAAATGATGCTGGATTTGCTGAAATCTCTCTGGAGATCTTCTGTCATCACTGTGGACCAAATGAAAAGAGTAAGTGTGGCACTTACAGAATACTGGATGAGGTCTTTAAAAACTTGCTTAGTTTTTACCCACTTTTAATAAGTATTTATAGTCCATTGCTGACTCTGCTGCTTTTTTCCTCCCTTCCCTCCACGGTCACTCTGTATCCCATACAGATAATGCCATTATCTCATACAGAAAATGGCGTTTTCCTCATACACCTTTCTTGTGTATTGGAGGGAGTACAAAGGGGATCTGAGCAGCGGTTTTCTCTTCAGCTGTGGGGTACAGAATATCTGAATCTTCACTCTAAGATTTTTCAACTGCTTTTTTATCATTTAATTGCATAAAATCAATCATAGTATGCTGTGATATAGCTACGTGTCTTTAAAATTATTTTTCGTATCCAGTATACTTCATAATCAAGAAGTGTGTTTTCTTCCTTCTGTTACTACCCGTGCAAAAGCAGCCTGGCTATCGCAGAAATCCAGATAGCACAGAATGTATGACTTAAGAAGCTTAAAAATTCAGCTGGTGTATTTATATAGATGGGTAGTTACGTAATACTGTGGTATTGGTTGGTATTATACCTTGCTTTGCCACTAATTTGCAGGTGCTCTGCTTTCAGTTTGTTGAAACTGTCTGAAGTTACATAAAAATCATCCTCTGAGTGCAAAAGGGCGTTTTAAAATAATATAATCATTGAATAACCAGATCATTTGCTTTCTTACACTGCAGGGCTACGAACGAGTTTACTGTGAAATCCCTGACATTAACCTGGATGTGCCACACTCCTATTCTGTGCTGGAGCGGTTTGTAGAGGAATGCTTTCAGGCCGGAATCATCTCCAAACCACTGAGAGACCTCTGTCCTTCAAGGTAGGTGTTTTACTAGATAATGCTTTTTATCCCCACTGTAGGTAACAGAAAGCAGGATCTTCGTGACCCGAGTATTAGAGATTGGAACCCAAAACTAGCAGAGACGGAAGAACAGAAGAGGGTTGGACTGGGAAACCGTTTATTAAAAAGCTGCACTAATACAAAACCTTTTACATGGAGGCTGGAATAAATATTTGAGCAAAGCAGGGCCTCTGCTGAATCCCAGGCACCATGCCTGTCTGCTCTGCAGAGGACAAAGGCCCGCCTCTCCTCTCAGCTTTGCCGATTTCCTGGGCAGAGATCAGCGCATCACTGAGACGCAAGAGTCAGATGTCACAATGATCCATGCAGGCAAAGCTGGAAGAAAAACAAAGCTTGAAAAATAGCTTAAATATACTAAACAGCATTAGCAGAGTTCTAGGATTAGACAACCAATTCTCCTTTTTTGTTCAGAAGGAACCGGGATATTTATGCGGCGTAAGCCCCACGTACCTGATCCTTTACTATCTGCCCATCGTGGGCTTTGTAAGGTGCTTTTTGTTTTGTTAGTGTTTGTTTGAACTGCAGGTCATCAGTATTCTTTTCTCTCCTTACTGCACAGTTTCATTTCCTGTGGGAAATGTGTGTAAAAATTTAAATTTGATGTTAAAACCATTACTCACAATTTTGCGCATTGGAAATATTGCTTGTTACATCTTTTCCAGTCTGGGTGTTTCCTTAGGCTTCTTAAAGCATCTTGACAGCTTGCAAAAAATCAGGTTTGGAAGGTTTAGTGACTTCATTGAAAGCAGCCTCCACATGTGGACTTCAGGCTTAATATTGAGTTAGTCTGTATTCCGATACCAACTGTTTTGTGGGCTTGGGGAGTAGGAGGGTTGAAAGTCATCGCTGCAGCAAATGCTTGATTATACTTCAATTCTCACGAATATATTGAGAGGCATTTTTGGCTTATGTACTTCAATTTGGGGTAGAAAAATGACAATTTTAGGCTTTCAGGCCAGCATCTTTTGCAAGTATGAATTACAAAAATAAATAGAAAAAGGTAAGCAATGCAAATTTTGAAAAGCTTCCTAGAAATGAACCAAGATGTGAGATGCAGATGAATTTTCAGCAGTTGAAGGGTGATTGTCAGCTTTATCTTGCTGAATCTTTTATACCTTGTATTTGACTCCCAAGATCAAGAGAAGATTCTTCACAGTGATAGATGAGAAAAAGAAATTACGCCACTGTAAACTTCCTGAAAATATACTTTGTGCTTTCTTACAGGGGCAGGAAGCGTTTTGTGAGCGAAGGAGATGGAGGCCGGCTTAAACTAGAAAGCTACTGAATGTGGGAACTGACTCCCGAAGCCTGAAGTTTAAAGGGACAAGAGATAGATATCTATATATATACAGACACGCGTGCTTGTTGGTGTGTGTGTATATATGTACGCACATATATTGTATACCAGAATTCTAAGAGTTGCTTAGCACAGTTCATATTTTTTTAAAAACACATCTTTGGGGTACAAATCATTTTTTTTAAAATAGTTTTATAAATTTCAGAAAACTTTTTTTTTTGGCATATAGTAGAACAACTGGCCACTCCGCTGTGGTGGTGCCTTCAAATAAGCTACCTTTTTATAAGTGCCATACGTTGCGACCTAATCATTCCATGTTTGCATCGATGTTTGACTGCCGCTCTTTCTTTCAAGGACAGTGTCTTCGTCATGAAATCACTGGCTTGTACAAAGCTTTATAGAAGGGTCAAGTTAAGCTGCTGTGATCCCATTTTCATTGCTGCTGAAGAAATACTGTGCTTTGGGAGAAAAAAAAAAAAGCTATTTCTTTGTTGTAAAGAGCCCATGGAAACGGAGTTGTTGGGTCATGGGCCAAATTCACCTGTTCTGGGGCAAAACGCAGGTCGGTTTTAGATGTTCCAGCTACCACCTACCAAACCAGTCGAAATGTTTTTTCTATGTAACTGGAAAAGTGAAACGTTCTGGTAAAAACATATTAAAAATATTTTTTTGTGAAACTCTGCTTTCTGTCTTCATTTTTAAAGTGAGTTTTTAAAACTGAACTGCTCCCATCTCTGACGGGTTGAGGGTTAAGGCGTACATCTATCACAATACGAGTTAGAAGATGCGAGGAGAGCAGTGACTAAGCACTTAAATTACGGGTAACAATTTTAAAAGGTGTTGTTAAAACACTTTTAACACGCCCCCAGCCCCTATCCCCTCCCCCTACCTGGGGCCGGGCGGCTCCCGGCGCTAACGCTGCGAGCCCGGCGCGCCCCCCGAGGCCCTCCCGGCCGCCTCGGCCGCCGCCCGCTGCAGCTCCTCCAGCTTCTCCAGCGCCACCGACTTGAGGGGCAGCACCTTGGGCTTGCACAGCACCATGGCGGGGACGTCCTCGGTCGAGAGTTGCCCTGGGGAGGGGACAGGCAGGGGGTGAGCGGGCAGCGCGCTGGGGCCGTGCCGAGCCAGGGCCATACCCGCCCGCCCCTACCTTGCTTGGGCAGCACCTCGCGGAACGCAGCCTTCCCCTCCGGCATGGCGCCGCCGCCGCCAGGAGAACTACAAATCCCGGCGTGCACCACGCGGCGCTGCGCTCTGCATGCGGGGGCGTATCCCTCGGTGCATGCTGGGAAATGTAGTCCTTACGGTGCGGGCAGGAATGCCGGCAGCGAGGCCCTGGGGTAGTCCCCCGAGGTTGACCTGGCCGCCCGGGGTGTGTGTGGGTCGCCCCGCCCCGCCCCGCCCGGGCCCTGTTAGTGTTATGGGATGGGTTCCGCGCCCTGCCCGCCCCGGGTTGTGTGGTGAAAGCCTGCTCCCTGCTGACCCGGCCTCGGCAACCATTTGTTTAATTGCACTGAAATGCTGGGAGCGCCCTTCAGCCTCCTCCTCCAGGGGCTGTGGGGAAAAGCACAGATGAACCCAATAAGTCACGAATCAGAACCAAAATGAGTGCCAAACAGCTTTCTGCCCCCTGTGCCTCTCTGCTCTGTCTCAGTGCGGCCAGCCCCGAGCTTCCTGACCCACAGAGCTACCAGCCACGGGGTCCCAGCCCCTCTGGAGTCCGCATTTAACTCCAGCTTCCCTACCACCACCTCCCCGACACTTACACAGAGCCCCTACTCGTACTCTGCTAGGGCTGTTTCCTCCGCGGCAACCTGTGGTGGGCAGCTGCTGGCCCCTCAGGTAGCCCGCTGCCACCCCATGGCTCCCTCGCTACGTGTGGGGCCCTGCGGCCGCCTCGTTTCCTGCCTTTGTGGAGCCGGCCAAAGACAACACCGCCGGCATGGGCCAGCACGGCCCAGCAGCCCAGTCCGTGCTCTGATTCACTTTATTCCACTCGCAGGTCAAAAGATTGGCATCGCTGAGGCGTTGAAATGGACCTGCTCACTCGGGACATCCTTCGCGGCCCTTTGAAGTGCGCAGGAGCCTTCCCGCTGGTTTCGGTGGGAACGGCCGCCTCCTTTGTCTGCTGTGCTAGTCGGGGTGTGCCAATTAGCGTTCCCCACTGATTGGGAGAGGAAAGGGCAAGGGACTGGAGACAGATTTATGAAGGTTGTGGATGTCTGTAGACCAGGATATTTGACACGGTACGTGCAGTTTGCAGATTAGTAACTTGGTAGGTTTGGGTTTTGTTTTTGTGTTGTTGGGCTTTGCGTGTTTATGTACGTAATTAGTTATTTATTTTGGTTATTTATTTATTTATTATTTTCCAAAGCGACCCTTCTAGCATCTCAGCTGGCTAGAAACGAGTGGAAAAGACAGCCAGTTACGAGTGAAAGTCTTACACTGTGAAGCCAACAGTTACTCCTGTGGTGACAAATACGGCCTGCGGAGCAACAGAAGATGAACTGAAAAGCCAGACGTCGGAATTAAATTGCAAGATGGTTGTTTTGACAGAGACGATGACCTCCTGGAGTCCAGCATTATGTGAGGGTTGGCATTGGTAACAACCAGCTCCCCCCTCAGTCACGTAGGGAATCACTTTCCCAAGACAGTTCTCCTGCCAGCGAGGTTTGTTTGCTTGGTGGCAAGAAACAATGGCCAACTCGGGTTGTTACTTGAATGTTTAGTGACTGAGAAGTGGAATCTGGCTTCATGCTAAATCCATTCTCTTAGCTAGTCAAATGCCAGCTTGGCAGCCTGTCTATAAGCTGATAGCACAGATAGAGGAGTGGCTGGGGGGATTGCTGTCAGCAGTCTCCGGTAAGTCTGCTTTTAAGACACCTCTTTCCATTGGGGAAAAAACACGGTTACCGTCTTCAGGACTGGATGAGAGAGGAGGGGGAGAGGCATGGACATTGTCTGGAGCTTGGTGTTGCCCTTTTCAAGGTGCCTTACAAGCAGTGATGGGCTTAGCTTTGAGTCAGGCCAGCATTCATTCACTACAGCAGTGACAACCACAGTCAGCAGGAGGGGAAAGCATGGCATGTAGGACCTAGTTCTGCTCTTGTTGGAAGAACAACAACACAAGACGTGAGTTTTTCAATTACCCAGTCTTATTCTGCAAAGGGAAGCGCAGTTAGAGGTGGCACCCAGGTGCCTGGGGAACTCGGAGCAGGGCTGTGTGGTGATACCCACATCTCAAGTTGTGCCCTCACTGCGTGTGGCTTTTTAAAGTGCTGAGACTCGGCCTTCAGATCATAGAATCACTCAGGTTGGTTGGAAAAGGCCTTCATTGCCAGTGTGAGAGCACCACCCCAGACAAGGACAACGCACTAGGTTACATCCTCGTTGTACTGATGTCGCAAACAAGTTATTCTTGTACACTGCAGAAAGCCTCACAACCACAAAACCAGCAATAATTTTATAAATGATAAGCTTGTTTTCCTCCTCCTCTTCCCAGATATTCTGAGTACAGCAGGCAGCAGAGATGTGCATTGCTGGAATCCGGAGAGTTTCATAATGTGGCAGCCGCTTGCTGAAAGCCCTGCAGATACAAAACAACACTTATTTTAAGTCTTGAGAAATATCTTCTCTTACCAAGGAGAAGAAAAGAACCCAAAACATGTAGGTGAAGCAATATGGCCGGTTCCATTTGTTTACGAGGCTTGTTTTTTGTCTTTATACATTTTAAATGCTTTTTATTTGTATTCTGTTTTTTGAGCCTTTCAAGTTCATGTTTTCCATTTTTTTTTTTCATACAACAAGAAAGTCTGGAATTGAGTCCTTTAAAAACAAAACTCCGGTTGAGCGTCCCTGTATAGCCATGTAACTCCAGACACGGCGGGTTTAAAAATATCCCTGCTTTCATGAGAATTGCCCATCTCTCAGTGCTAAGTTTAAGTAAGTGCTTTGTTGAAAGTTTAAGACGATTATAACAACACCTGTCTGTGTTTGCTTTCCAGGCAGATCCCTCTCTTCTTTTCCAAACATTTAGAGCTTGTCTCTCCTCTGCATGTGCTGATGGGGTCAGAAATGCAGTGCACCAGCCTGGCTAACGCATGTCGAATAATTCATACAAGTGCTTGTGAAAGTACAGGTGTGCAGATTTCATGCCGTTGTCCCCCTAAGGTGCTGAGTGGTACCAGAGGGTACAGAGCCCACCGTCCGGGCAGCAGGGGGAGGGTGGTGCTGCCATCCCGGGAGCAGAAAGCCTCGGTGACTCCCTGGGGGAACCACAAATGCCTCCAGAGCATGATGTTTAACCCAGTCCTTGATTTTGGGAGGCAGTTGACAGACGAGTGATTTCTTTTGGTTCACTTTGCTGAATGTAACGGCTTTAACTCTGCTGTGTGACGTGGTGCTGTTCCCGAGTTCACCACGAAGGAGACGTCCTCGCTCAGCGTGCAGGTTTGTCTTCCACTGCTGGGCACACACAAGTGCCTGGAAATGCGATATCCAAGGGACACAGAAACAGCTTTTTGGCCGGCTGCTCTTTCTGTTCTCTCTCTAGCCATAACGCCCGGTAAAAGCGGAGCCTTTTGCCTGCCTCACTGCTCCGTAAAAGCCCCGCTCTGGGCTGCCAGGCCCAGGCTGGCACTTCCAGGAGGTTACCGCTCTACTTGTGTGGTTTGAATCGCTTAAGTCTTTGGCCTTGTGCCTTCAAGTGCCAGCAGAGGCATGCTGTAATTGCCCGTAAATGCACCGTCTGTCATATTATTGTTTAATTATTCCAGCTTCTCACTGCCACACACTGCTTAGTGTCTCTCTTGCTATCTTTATTTAATTGAGTGGAAAAAATCCGAGACTTGCGCTTCGCTTACGTCACTTTGTATTTACCCAGCATCACTGGATCCTACTTTGAAGTCCCAGCTTTTGTACGTAGAAGCCAGCCTTCTACGCAGAAAAAAAATAATGTAAATGTCTAAAGCATATGTTAGAGACAGAATCAATATTTTAACACATGGTAAACTCGGGCCATAAATCTCTTAACACAGTCAGATGATTGTATTGTTCTCCTTTCAAACTCTGCTCTGCCCCTTGAGAAACAAGACAGGGAAAGAAAACCATGAATAACCAAGCCCTTGTCCTCACAATGCAGGATTGTTCTTAGCCTGTCACTTTGTCTGTGCCACCTCTTCCTTTTCTGGCTACTAGCTCTCTTTTTTCTTCTCCGCCGAATGCCTTCATCTCCAAGAGCCTTCTTTCCCTAGCCCATCCCTACTGATGGGTTTTAGCTTATTATCAGGATATCAGCTCTGTCCCGGGATCAGCCTGTGTTGACCAGTCTCACTGCCCTCTTCTGACAGTTTCAAACACCTCTCTGCTTCCTCCAAGCCTGCAACAAACCCATTATTAATGTGTGTGTTGAAAAAAGAAATCATCTCGCAGAGATCTCTCCTTGTCCGTATGGTCTATAAAAAAACTTGGCAGCATGTTGACTGCTTTCCTTTCCTCATGCTCCCCGTGTCTGCGACAAATAAACGCATGTCATTTTTCTGGTCCTATTCTCAGTCTTCTGTCTCTGAACCAGAGCAACCTTTTTGTACAGCACCCAGCACACACAATTGGGATCAAGCAACTCTGTGTTACTGCACCAACGGTAAATATTAGGGTTGCTGGCACTCTCCCTGGACTAGTTTTCCTGTCTCTAGGCAAAGGGAGTTTCATGATGTCCTTTTGGAAGATCACCGTGTGCTTGAATAAATCTTGCTTTCAGGACTTTTCTTTTTTTCATAAATCCTCAGCTGAAATTTTCATTCACAGGTGTGCTCCGTACAATGCCTAGCTGCCTGGCAGAGCCAGCGTTGTTTCTGGGGCTGTGCTTTTGGCTTCCCATAACCGTAAGATTACTCATTTCATACTATTTTCTGATTTGTTTTATTTTTCATCCATCTCTTTCCTGCAGGAAAGAGCAATTTATATAATGATTTCACTGTGGAATTGACTTCAGGCTTTACTGCTATTTGTCACCATTCAGGAAATCCATCCCTGGCTCCAGAAGAACACTCAGTCCCTGCTGACAGTCTGGAAGAGGGAGAGAAAATAGATAGCAGAGCTGAAGCTATTAAGACCAACAGGCACATATTTTATTCCAACTCAATTTTCCCTTCCCAAATACCTTTTAAAGAAAATCTTTCTCTTTGAGAGACCGTGAATTAAGGTTGGTTTTGTTTGTTTTTTTGAGGGAAGAGGTTGTTGTAGATTTTTTGTTTTGTTTTGTTGTTGTTTTTTGGGGTACTTGCTGATCTTCATCTTCGTCCACATTTCAGACAGCAGAGCCTGCAGCCATGACACGATGCAATCCCAAGCAAAACGGCTGCTGCCTCTGGCCTTGGTTAACCTGCTGGCAGTGATACTTGCCTGGGCATGGGGCAGCTGGCTTTTTACACAGCTCAGCATGGATATGCTGCCACTCCCAGTCACTTTTAGGACACAGCAGAGTTGTTTTTCTTAAGATTACTTCTGAAGAAAAACATGTAATAAAATGTTCGACCTTCCCAGGGCCACCACTCCCTGAGACCTTTCCCCTTTCTTGGCTTCTGTGAGAGCTTCTTTCCCTCGGCTTCACACCTTTATCAGCTGAAAACGATAAGGGTACAGAGCTGCTTGGCTCCAGGCTCTCCCTTTGAAGGACAGGCTGCGCTGCCACACCGTTGTGCCTCTGGGGGACTGGACGATCACCGAGGACAATGGGGAAGTGAAGTCTGCTCCCTCTTTTGTGTGGAGCAGAGGCAGGACTTGGCCTTTTATGAAGTTCAGCAGGGGAAAACTCGGGCTTTCGCACTCGTGTTCCTGCATTCCGTGCCCTACCCGTCAGCCTGGTGCTAATCTTCACGGACCTTTGAAGGCAAGAAACGACACGCAGTGCAAATGAAAGCTTAGCCAGGGTATTGGTGCCAGCCAGTTTTAGAAGTCTGACACGGGAGCCAAGTGGAACAGGTACAGGGGCAGGAGATGCCGTGTACCACCTGCAGGCACACAGACCTACGGTGCTTGCGCAGCATCGGAGCCCAACGGCAAAGCGCGGCGGGCGAGGAGCTGGGGAGCCCAGGGCCACATCAGGCTCAAATGCACTTTCCCGGGGAGGAAGTGGCTTTTCCCTTGGAAAGCTCAACTCCCCAGGGTCCCTATGAGGTCAATGGAAAAAGTGATTTCTTCAGAACATGATTCAGAGTGCCTGAACACAGGCTTATCATTTCAACTAGGGATGGAGCTTAGCCTCTGTAGTTTTAAAGTAAATTTGTGAGTACCCATCCCCTCCTACCCCCTAGTTTGGGACTGATGCTGGGGGTTAGTGGTAGGCAGGGTGCCCACCACAATTCAGATGCTGCAGACCCAAAGCCTTGTCTGCTACAGCGCTGCATGTCCTATTGGATCCTGCTTTGTCCTTGTGGCATCTCCTGGGATGTCAGAAATGGATCTGCAAGTAGCAGAAGAATCAAATGAAGTCAAGAAATGTTGGTTTCTTTATGGATAGCCTGACTGGAGCTGGAATAATCAGCATCTGTTTCAGTTTAAGCGAGTTTTCATTCCAGCCTCTCTCCCTTTTCAAAGTACAGACAACCGAAGCCTTTAATTTGCCGTGTCTTTCACTAGAGAAAAGTAGGAGTTTCTAGCAGCTGATACTATCCTGCCTCGAAATCTACACTACAAAAATACAGTTTATTGTCTGTTGTGAATGAAAAAGCTCTCGCTTGTTTCTCTTGTTTGTAGTGTTGACTTTGAAAGATAAATTGTTTGAACTGGTTGACTCTCCGTTTGTGTAAGTGAAGATTAGCTTGCTTGATAGCCGGCTGGATTTGCAGTTTCCCCTTGCACTAAATAAACCGAAGACCTGCCAGCCTGGGGCAGTTAGGACACAGCACAGACTTGAAAAAGTCGGTGTGCATGCTGGTGAATATGGGAAACTCCTCTCATGTCTGGCATTTTGGATGTGCCATTTCAGGGTCGGTGTGTCCTGCCTTTCCTCCTGGAGAAGCCCTTGTAGGACCTGGAAAGCGCGTCTGAAACCTTGCTACCAGATAGGTTCCTAATGAGTTCAAAGGTAAGGCTGGCAGGCCCAGAGCGGTTTTTTACATGACAGTTTCACAACTCTTAAGTCATGCTGCTGCTCGGTTTTGAGAACACAGGCACCGTAACCAAACTCCATCCTCTTCCCATGTGCGTGTTTGCTCTGTAAAGCCAACGGGAGGCAAAAAAGCAAAAATAACTTTTTGTCCCTCAAGTAAGCAGACCTGACTGAACGCAGAAAAGGAACAGGCGTTAAAAATAGCAACGTCTTACAGTACTGCAGCCCTTAACTGAGAACCACATTTTGAGGTTCCCCTTCTTTGTATCCTTCTTTGTATTGCAACAGCAGAAGCTTTTGCTCTGGCGGGGCAGAGTCTCTCTTAGATGCGACGGATCTTGTTGTTGGCTGCTCTGTCACAGCGCTGGCTACTGGACATTGCCAATGGCTCTGGGTGTTCATGTGCATCCCCCAGGCACAGCTCCTGTGCCTCGCACCATTCCTCTCTCCCCTTCAGCTCCTCAGCTGTGCCAGCTCTTCCAGCCTCCCCACTCTCTGTATACCCGTAATAAAGGCAGTAGAGCCAAGATTACGTTCAAGGTGAAGACAGAAAAGCAGTGCTGAAGTCATACGCTATTTCTGTGATCAGTATGACGCTCACAAAATGAAACAGTCTTCATCATGCCATCAGCCTTCAAAGCATGCTTCTCTCCCACAGAGCAGCGGGACACATTGCAAGCTTTGGGTAAGAGACCGAAGCCAAGCCTCTGGTAAACCGGTGGCTCAAGAGAAGGGAAAGGAAGAGGGCAAGGCAGGAAGGCCTGGGTAGGCTGAGGTGTAGAAGGGAGGAAGGCAAAGCCTAAGACTGGGAATTTGGAGCTTTGGTGCGATGGAAGGAGGCTGAGATTCACAAAGAAAGTGAAACTGGGAATTAGAGGAGTTTCATGCTGAGACTGGCTGTGCGAGGAACTGACAGCAGGGGAGGGACCAAAGTCATGGCAGATTTCAGTTTGTCAGTACAACCAAAGTCAGGGGGATAGGAAGTCGGATGAAGAACTGGCCAAAAGAGACTGAGCAAGGCATGGGGAACTGAAGCTGGAGGCAGCGTTGGAGGCTAAGAAAGGAGAGGCAGGTGATCGAGTCTGAAAGCCTTGATCGGGGACAGGCAGAGGGGAGGGAGCGGAACACCAGGGAGAGCTGTGAGCTGGGCAGAAGGGAAAGCTTGGGGATAGGGGTACAGGGGATGTGCTTGCTGGGACACCCTGGCAATGGGGCAGAGCTTCTCTGAGGCTGGCCTTTGCTGTGGCGTGGCTGGCCAAGAATTTGCCTCTTGTTGGTCTGCCCCAGAAACAGCTAGAATTTAGTGCCCTGGGACGAGGCGGCAGCAGCTGCCTGCCTGGGGGAGGAGAGAGAGCTTTCTTGTAGCGAAATAGAAAAAAAATTACAGATGGGAGGAGGTAGTAGAAAGGCCACATGAACAAAAGAGAAAGGGTCAATTCATTAGTTTGGCAGCTACTAAATTAAGAAAAGGCAAGCAGGGCTGTTATATCAGAGGTGTCTGAATTCAGGCAAAGATGATTCTGAAGTTACTGTATTGATCTCGTGGTCAGCTTAAGCAAGCTTAACTAATTAATTGCTTTATTTTGGTTCATTGTGTAAGATCTAGCTCCCAATAAATCACACTGCTTCGTAGAAAAATGCTTGGAACAACTGTGTAAATACTAAATAGCCTTAGGAATGGTCATATGTACCCAGTGAATAGTCCAAATTCCAGGACTCATCCCTCTCCAGTGCTGGTCTAGGTGGAGGAGAAGAGTCTGCTGTCCTCTGCCTTTGTGAGGGAAAGGGGCAGAGGTCTGTGTCGGGCACCTCAAGGTACCAGCACTGCCGATGACCCAGGGATGTGTGATGCTGTGTGATCCTGTAATGACAGCTGTCCTTTTGGGAAGACGGGGAGTATTAAGTGTGTGGAAGGACCATTATTAGGGCTGCAAAGCCAAGCGTTTCAGTGAAGCAATGCCCAAATGAATTTGCCTGTGAAACCTTCATTCAGATCGTCCACACATGCAGGTTATGAAATGCTCATTAATTTTGTTGCAGTAATTCAAGATCCTCTCATGGTTATACAGGTTTTTAGGGAAACAGAGACCACGAAACTACTGAGTTGCTGCCTGTGGCGCTGTCTTAAGGAGAAGCGCTCAGCCACCATACCACCAGGTTCAACGTATGGGCCAATAAGAGGAGTCCTATGAAGCTGAGGGAAACCTTCGCTAATATTTTTATTGATCCTGACTGTGGTGTCTTTTCCATCGGGTCTGTGTTTGGGAAGGCTTTGGGAGAAGCAGCACTGCTGGAGGCTGGGGCTGGAGCTCAGCCTCCAGCAGGAGGGCACCACATTAACTATTTCACGTGTGCAGATTACAAAACACTATCTTGCAGGGATGTGCCCAAACACCCGTTTCTTTGGGCTTTTTTTTTTTTTTTTTTTTAGGAGCCGGGCCCGTCCCCGCCGCCGTCTCCAGGGGCAACGGGGGCCGCTTCCGCCCGGCGCCAAGATGGCGGCGGCGCCGTGACCTGGAAGCCATCGGCCGGGGCCTCGCCGCGCCGCGCCCGCCCCCGTGGTGCGGCGGGCGGGAGGGCCGTGGGCGGGGAGTCCCGTGACGGCTCGGGGCGCACGGAGCGGGGCCGCCGGGGCCGGTGTTGTGAGGCGAGGAGAGGAGGGGGGGAGCGTTGCGGAGAGCGCCGCGGGAGGATGGCGGAGCCGCACGGTACGGCACCGGGGCGGCGGCGGCGGGGCGGGTGGCGGCTGACAGCGGGCCGGGCCCCGGGGAGGCCGCGGGCACAAAGGCGGGGAGGGCCCCGCAACGGTCCCGGCCCCCCCCCCAACGGCCCCCAACGGCTCCTCACGGGGGGCCCGGGGCTGTGGTGGGGGTGAGGGGGGCGGCCCCGTGAGGGGATGGGGGGGGATATGGGGGGATTTGGGGGGATGTGAGGGGGTTTTGGAGGGGTATGGGGGGGGGTTGAGGGGATGTGAGGGGGTTTTTAAAGGATATGGGGAGGGTTTAGGGGGATGTGAAGGGTTTTTGGGGGGTGTGAGGGGGTTTTGGGGGTGTGTGAGGGGTTTTCGGGGATATTGGGGGGGTTGGAAGAATATCAGCGGGTTTTGGAAGAATATGAGGGGGTTTTGGGGGTTATGAGGGGCTATTGGGGGGTGTGAGGGGATTTTATGGGGATATAGGGGGTTTGGAGGGATATAGGGGGATTTTGGGGGGTATGAGGGGATTTGGGGAGATATGAGGGGTTTTTGGGGGGATGTGATTTTTTTGGGGGGGATATGAGGGGGTTTTGGGGGGGTTTAGGCACTGTGGGGGCGCCGCGTTGGGGTGCGGAGCTCCTCCGTGCCGCGTCGGGGTGGCGGTGCCCAAAGGAAGAAGGGGGGGATAAATAAATAAAGAGAGGAGGAAGCCCAGCCTCGCCGCCTCACCTCGCCCCGAGGAGGAGCCGGGGGGAGCGCGGTGACCCCGTCAGCATGGGGGAGCCCGGCCGGAGCCCCCCGCACCCAGCGGGGTGAGGGCAGGCAGGGCCCTTCTACCAGGCATTGCCATCCCGTGGTGCCCCAAAAACAGAGGTGGCCCTGAGGGAGCCGGGTGACAGCTGCCTGCCCGTCCCCGTGGCTCTGGAGCCTGGCTTCGCCCAGCTCTGGGTGTCTGCCTGTCACTGTGAGGTGCTTGCGAGGCTCTGGTAACCTCAGGTAAGGTGAGCGGCTCCCTGTGCCGCCTGCCAGCGCCAAGGAGAGGTTCGGCAGCGCTGAAGGTGCGTGGAGGCATGGGGCGGCTCGGCCCCACGGGCTTCACGGGGAGCAGGTGTGGGATAAAACAACCCCAAAGCCGAATTAACACTGAAGCATCGACAGCAATTTGTGACGGATGCATCCGAGATGGGGCTGGGGGAGCCAGCGTTTCGTGCGCTCCTGCACACGTGCAGGCACAAAGACGCTTCTGAGGCAGAATAGTAAAGCTGAGGAGTTGTAGCTGGGTGTGCTGTGGCTGCAGCGGAGATTTCTGCGACTGCTGAAATACAAATGAAACTGGTTTTGGTAATTAGATTCAAGGCTTTAATTTTCTGCTGTCTCCTTGTTTGTGCGTTCGGCTTTCTACTTATTATTTTCCCTTTTTACCTTCTAAACTGTTTTTCTTATGCATCTCACTAGGCGTTATTGGGAGCTTCTATTTATAAAATCAAGGGCTTAAAGTAGGTGGTGGTCAAATTAAGTCACACTTATTTACAGCCATATTTCAGGCATATGCTGTATGGTGATCTTGATATAATCCTAGCTTGGTTTTGGGAAAGATTTACTGTATCCTATGAATTTATTAATACTCTGTTGTGCATACGTTTTAATTTTAGTAACACCCTGATCCCCTTAATTCCTTTTGAATGATTTGGGCTTGACTGTCTTGGTTTTCTGTGTAATTATTCTTTGTTCTGGGCGAGCAAAATGACGGGCTATTTTCATAATTTGAAGCTGGATTCCTTTTAATTTAGGCTAATATTTGTCAGCCATCAGGATTTCTGTACGTGTGGCAAGGCAAAACACGTCCATCGGGCAAAACTCATTTTCTGTGCCATCTCGTACTGCGGAGAGATGATTCCAGACAAAGCTCTCCGCGCGTCCGCAGCCTTCCTTTGAGGAATACCGAGGCATCCTCAGCGAGGATGCTCGCGTCCCTCTCTCCTGCTCTCTAGAGATGTTAAACACCCCCCCAGGATTTTTTCTCCCAGGGGTGACGACGAGGGTAGGGTCTGTGGCTGCCGCTCCCGGTGGAGTTTTCCCTTCCCCGTGCCAGCCGAGATGTCAGTGAGTGAGGCAGGAGGTGCTGGGAGGGGCGTTCCTTTGTTATGGTGACACCGATCGCCCCGACGGGTGTATGCTCCTCCAGGAATTGCCTTCCGCGGCCGGGATTCCTTCCCAGGATGGGTATTTTCTCTGTCAGTCTCTGTGCTCTCTTAGCTTTTGTGCAGGGGTGAAT